ATTTGAAACTTGTAAGTGTGATTGGTGAGTGAATGTGTTGTGGGGTCTTGTGTTGTTGTATTGTGCTTTGTTAGAAAAAAATCCTGTTTTTCTGTTGTCCAAGTTTTCTTACAAAAGACCCACGAGTCCCCTGGTTCTACATTGCCTTTTACTGTAACAGGGGGGAACAGGAAATGAAAATTGTCAATTATAAAACAAACATATAGCAATATTCCAGCCATAGGATGGAGGTCTGTAAACATTCAAGTCTGGACAATCCAGTGACTGTCAAGCATCAATCAATCCAACCAATCACAATCAATCAATGCAAGTTGGATATGATGATAGGCATGAATACTGTCAAGTGTAGCTCATGTAGCTGAATGTCAGGTGAACTGATGGAATGGCCTGTGTGTTTCCTGTGTCTGGTGTCGTACACTGTCCTTTATGCATCAGATCTCCTGTCATCAACATCTCTTCCTCAGAAACCACTCAACTTCACATGCTTGTTCCCACACATGATGACATGCCATTTTGTCAAAGAGTCAAATCTGATTTTCAGAGTGACCAAAACAGCAGACTACTGAGGGAGAGATTTTGATGACAAGACACCAAATGCATAATGAAAACAGGAACCGCCACACAACATATTTAAGGGTAATGATATTTCAAAACATTATTTCAGTGTTTTTCAAAGGTATTTATACTGAAAATATTTAAACATCAATGCTCAACTGTCTCCTACAAGAAACATGGAATCTGCTGTTCCTGTTCAGACTTAAGCATCTCACAAAGGCCTGGATTTCATTGTCAAGTCTTTGTTGATAGTTGAAACCTTTGACTATATTGGCTGGCCGCAGTACATTGAATACCGAGTGGTATGCTTACATAGCTGATGTGTTCTGGCCTCAGTCCTCCAGCAGTCAGCTCCAGCGCTAGAGTGGATGCAGGAGCTCCCCCAGCAGGGGTATCAATATCATCATCCTCCAGCAGGCTGAACAACTCCTACAACACCACAAACAGTTGGCCATGAGTTACCACTGTCTAGCTGTATAGAAAGTGCGCAGGGAATGACAGCTGTACATTTCTTACACTACCGTCAAAGACCACTGGTACGCAGTGGAAATTAAACTAAACTACCTATGGTTTGCAGTGGAAGTTAAATTAAACTACATAAATTTTTGAGTTACCTTTCACTCAACTAAATGTGAAATCCCCTTTTAATCAACAACCGGTAAATGTCAAATCCCCTTTATACCAACTAAACGTAAAATCCCCTTTAATCAACTAATGAGAATGTGAAATATGCTAATAAATAATGAAGTTTAAACTTAAAATGAAGAAACTGTCTATCTTGCAAATGTTAAATGTCAATGGATAATTCTCTCAACTATGTCTATTTCTATTTGACCTACACTGTTATAGTTGAAAATCCATCACTTGGAGAGAGCTACCCACCAACAACCTGAAACTAGCCCCTAAAACAGAAACTCTAATTTCTGTTAACCATGCACACAGAATCTTGTGCAGCATGAAAAGATATAGTTTGTTCTTTCTGCGTAGCGGTTGTATTTGTGTTATCAAACACTGTGTCCGAGAACATCAGTTCTTTACAGACCCTCCAGAACAAACAGTGATAAATTAGCAAGTCCAACAATTTGCTAGCACTCAAACTTTTGATTTAAAGATGGTTAACAAAGAAACTTTTCATTGGATGGTGATGTTAGATTATTGTACAGAAAGGATCATTCTGAATTCAGGATGTTCAATGTTTTCTTATATTTCTGATCATTGTCACAAAAAGGTGAAATCTGAATCAAGACTTTTGTACAAAGTTATCATTTCTATTGACAGCATCATTCATACACACAGTATCCTGAAAACTCTTCACATGTATTCATATAAATAATGTTGTAAAGTACCAGTCAGCATGGCTACCATTCCATTTGTTTTTACATAATGAGCTTTGACACAGATCTACCAGCCTCGGGCAAATGATAGCTGTCAACCTTGTTCCTGCAAGTGTGTTCAAATGCCTCCATATGATTGGCTACTGATTTGTTTGTTTGTTATTCAACAGGTTCAGAGGAGATAATACCTTGCACTTTTCCATCTTGACGTCCAGGGCATTATAGTCAAATTTGTTGAGCAAGTTCCTCAATATTGGACTGAAAGAGAAATAACAGTATCCTGTAGTTATATCGACATACCTGTGTTGGTTGAGTGTGTATTTAACTGTGAGGGCATTATCAGATTATGGTTGACAGAGGAAGCCCAGCATGATGCATAGTTTACTTCCCTGTAGAAACTTGAAGTAAAAGCATGGAGTGGACAGATAAAGGGAGACAACTCTACACAGCATGTTGCAGCACAGTCATGTGGTTCAAAACAGATGTGTAAAAGCATAAACACACTATCAATTACAAATAATACAAAATATGCGACAAAACTTACTCCATCTGTGTGACCTTCTCTGACAGAGCTGCTATCACAGAAAACAAGCGGAAGTTTATCTTGGATCTTCCAGGCAAGTCGAGGATCTGAATATAATGATCAATGCAAGTCATTACTTCAATACTGAAACATGAAATCTTTATTCTCTGCTCCCAAAACCAATTATCAACACTGCATGTCATTTTTATAGGATTCTATATTTTAGAAAAAAATATACTCAAAAGTTGTTGTAAGCATTCTCCAACTTAACCGAGAAAGGGAATGTGATGTTTTTATTACCTATGAGGGATGAGGAATGCAAACAGCCTTATCGACTATTTGAGCAAATACTTTGCACACAACAAAATAGATATTTATTGTAAATGAAACTTAGGTAATTGATTTTTTCACCTACAAAGAGGCTGCTAATTGTTGTTACCTTGCCTGACAGTATTTGTCATTAAGAGGAGGTCTGGTCTACTAAGAATTTGTCATTGTGTATAGAAGAGAGGAGGAAAGGAGAGATTTGTCTGGGGGAATTTTGCACCCTGGCCTTAAAGGTAACGTCATTTCAATGATAACAAAGTGTGTTAGCCAAAGAAATGCAGGTTTCAGATGTTTATCCCAATTTCGTGAGCATGGCAGTATCAAGCAAATTTCTTTCATGCAACAATAATAGGTTTCTCACGGGTTTTCCTAAGAGATGCAACTCTGACCAATAAATTGTGGCCACTAAGACGACACGAGCAACCATGCCCCCAAACTAGTTTTGTGTAACTGTCGAGTACTGTATGAAGTGTATAAAGTTGTAGGAACCTACAAAGTACAGGTACTTGAACTCCTGGTCAGTCAGCAGGTGGTTGTTGATCTGCTGCAGAGCTTCCTCCACCAGCTCCAGGTTCAACTCGTAGTCCTGGCAACACCCACAGAACAGGGTCAGACACCAGGTGTGGGAGTCAACGGAGGGTCAGATACCAGGTGAGGGAGTCAAGGGCAGTTACCGGGTGAGGGAGTTCAGGAGCAGACACTGGGTGAGGGTGTCAAGGAGGGCAGATACCGGGTGAGGGTGTCAAGGGAGGGGCAGGGTGAGGGGAGGAGGGAGTCAGGGAGGAGGGGCAGATAGAGTGAGGGGAGTCAAGGGAGGGGCAGATACCGGGTGAGGGAGTCAAGCAGAGGGCAGATACCGGTGAGGGGGAGGGTGTCAAGGGAGGGGCAGATAGTCAAGGGAGGGGGAGAGGGTGTCAAGGGAGGGTCAGATACAGGGGAGAGGGGCAGGGTCAAGGGAGGGTCAGATACAGGAGAGAGTTGCTCAGGAGGGGCAGAAAAGGTCAGAGAGACAGAGGGAGGGGGAGAGGGAGTCAAGGAAAATAGTCATGCATATGGAGAGAGGTAAAGGGAAATACCGGGTGAGGTTGGAGTCATATGAGGGACATCAGAAGTTCATCCAAATTTTGCTTTTAGTTTTATAGCTCGGATACAGTTCTGGATTAGACAAACCAGGAATCAGTAGTGTGAGTGGGGATTGACAAAATATAAACCGAAATGGGTAGGTATAAAGGACATCAGGTTACATTTTCAGTGAATTCTGACACCTCTACCTTCAGTAGATGCAGCCATGTTAAGACACAAAGGGATGGTATACACATGTTAAGACACACAAAGGGATGGTATACACATGTTAAGACACACAAAGGGATGGTATACACATGTTCAACATTCAAACTCAGTGGTGTCTCATTACTTCTTCTGTGCCAGCCAGTGATCCATCAAAACAAGGTGACATACATGTCATCATGAATGTAACAATTCTGAATTTGATTGAGTGCATGAATGAAACATAAAACAGCACAGGACATGCATGCAGATTTTGAAAGTGTTGCATAAGTTTTCACCTTTAAGACACATGCATCATAGAAATACACAACCTACCGGGTCTGGATGGAGCTTGTTATATAGATGACTCTGCTGTCTACGGAATCCTGATGACCTTTGGTTGTCTGCCTGGCTGGAGAAGAACACCTCATTACTGAGGATATCCAGGAGGAGCTTCTCACCTGGGGACATGGGCAAACACAGAGTCATGGCACGTGGGGATACTGATGCAGGAGACACAGAATTATTGCAGGAAGGGATGCATGGAAGTTGCAGAAGGGATGCAGAATTATTGCAGAAAGGGATGCATGGAAGTTGCAGAAGGGATGCAGAATTATTGCTACAGGAGATGCAGATTTATTGCATAAAGGGATGCTGGGTTATTGCTGCAGGAGGGGATGCAGAAATATTGCAGAAGGGATGCAGAATTATTGCTCCAGGAGATGCAGATTTATTGCAGGAAGGGATGCTGGGTTATTGCTGGAGGGGATGCATAATTATTGCAGGAAGGAGATGCAGAATTATTGCAGAAGGGAAAGCAGAATTATTACAAAAATTGCAGGAGAAGCAGAATTACTGCAGGATTCGATGCAGAATTATTGCAGGATTCAATGCAGTGTTATTGTAGGAAGAGATGCAGAATTACTGTTATTGCTGGGCCATATTGGGAGTAGTCTGCCCTATTTTGCCATGTGATACAGAGATAGTACCTACCTTCTAGCTGCTGCAGGCGGTTGTGGACATCATGGATCTTTTCTTTGGTTCTCTCCCTCTCCAGGTTCAGCTGGCGGACCTCCGGATCAGAACTCAACTGAACACGTAACACAATACAGTAAGAGTATGTATAACATCATGCAGTAACATGTTTAACATCCTACAGTAGCTACAGGTTATGTATGCTGACGTGTTCCCATTCCTTGTCCATGATGACATTCTCACTCTGATATGGTGTATATTATATTCCTCACACATGAGATAGGCGATGGGGTAGCCTAGTGGTTAAAATGTTTGCTCGTCACACTGAAGACCCAGGTTCGATTCCCCACATGGGTACAATGTATGAAGCCCATTTCTGTTGTCCCCTGACATAATATTGCTGGAATATTACTAAAAGCGGCATAAAACTATCCCCAGTGACTCTATTTGAGTGCATTATGACTTGTGTGTATAACACTGACTCTTTTTTGCCTGTTGTGTACAATACTGACTCTTTTTGCCTGTTGTGTATAATACTGGGATAGAAGGACAAGATGACCTTAACATCCAATAAAAACTGACAATAGCATAACAAGTTCTAGAGTCAGCAATACAGTATGCTTGTCAGTAGACACAAGTAACCTGCAGCACTCACCATGGTGAGCTGGTCATCAGTCAGTCTCTCCACAATCACTACGTCTGGGATAGGTTCCCCTCGGCGCCGGGGCGTTGCCAGCTCCATCTCCTTGTCCTTTTTTAGATTTCTGGAGGCAACATGTGCAATTCAGTTAACAGTTAGGCCTAACAAATGGTTTACAGGTCTGATTGTGGTCGAACTTCAGCTACAATAAAATCATTTTGAAGTGATCTTTTTGCAGTATTCTTGGGGTGAAAAAAAAAAATGAAATATAATACAAAACTTCTTTTAATATCATAAGAAGGCAAACAATTACTTCCTCTCCAAAGTACAAATTACATTTCACTTGTGAAATTTCTGTTAGGTGTAAATGTACTTGCAAAGTAAGTTGGAATGTCTCACTAACAGCAGCTTTTGAAATTTGTCTTACTTTAGTCAAGCTAAGAATATTACAGGAAACTGTGTTTCACTTTTCCTGGGAGTGTGTTGCATGTCGCTTGAATGTGTGTCACTTGACTGAGACAGAACTGTTTCTAGTGCAGCAAACTTGTTGGAGGATTGTGAACTGCTTTACATTTATAACCCTCAACTTCAACATATCTACATGCTCCACAGGTCAAGGGATTGATGAAAGTGACAGAGAACAGCTTCCTACACCACGGTACCCAAGGAAGATGCCAAATCCACCATAACCCTTCCCACCCATCCTCACTGGATTTTAACTTGTTTTCAGCACAGTGTAGTAGACTAACAGAACGATTCAAAGGCTGATACAATGTCAGGGATATCATTATTTCTGTAGCTTATCTGCCTACCTTCCCTTTCTTTCCCTTTTTCTTGTCTGGGGGCACATAATCATGAGCACATACGTCTGGGAGCAGGGTCCTTGTGCTCTCCGCCAGCATCGACACTCGCTGCACTGTACAAGCACAGAAAATGGCTTGATTAATGACTTTACATAATTGATTATGATTTCCATAAATTTCAAACAAACTTTCTAGCATTGTACTTTTATGCCAGTTTTAGAAACAACAAAATGTTCCATGTTAATTTTGGAAACTAGTATGACACATAATTAAGTATTGTAATTAATTAATCTGGAAGAGGTCCCTGCTTATCAAGAAACAATGGTGTAACAATAGCATTCTTGTAAGTTTTTAAACACTCTGAAAGCTTATTGCAATCAGTATTACAAAAACTCCTTTACATGATGAAGACATTGCAGGAAGACTGACCAAGTAATTGTTTAATGCCTGCAACATATAAACTAGCAGTTGACAGCATGACCAATGCTCGTCATGAAACAAGAAACAATGGTGTAACAATAGCATTCTTGTAAGTTTTTAAACACTCTGAAAGCTTATTGCAATCAGTATTACAAAAACTCCTTTACATGATGAAGACATTGCAGGAAGACTGACCAAGTAATTGTTTAATGCCTGCAACATATAAACTAGCAGTTGACAGCATGACCAATGCTATTGGGAACGTCATGATGACACAGTACAATGGGATCACAAGAGTATACCGCACTCAGCAATATTCCAGTGGTCTGTAAATAATCGAGTCTGGATCAGACAATCCAGTGATCAACGGCATGAGCATCGATCTATGCAATTGGGAACCGAGACAGCGAGCCTGACCACCCGATCCTGTTAGTCGCCTCTTACGACAATCATGGGTTACTGAAGATCAATTCTATCCTGCCATATTGCGGAGTGCTGCATAAAACTAAACTCACTCACTCATGCACTAAGTTATATCACCTTTTGCTCCACACGTCACTGTTCCATTGTTATTTAACCTTATTTAACCTATATTTAGTTTGTGATACACACAGAGAAAAGGTGACTGGGGTAAATAGACTTTGTAACAATCTGTTTGTTCATTCTTTCTATGTTTTTTCTAACCATGGTCTACTGAATGTTGTCTTGGATTAAAGTGTAAGTAACTGTGACTCTGGTACCTATGGAGACATAGGTAAGATGTGACAGTGCCAATTCTAACCCAGATCTTGATGGGTAGGATAACAAGATGTCACATTCACTGTGCATGCAACAAGGCATGATATTCCATGCTATAGCTGTGGTATATACTGACTGTCTAGCTGGGTGAGCTGAGCCTCCAGGCCTGCTGCCTTCTGCTGCAGGCTGTCCAGGGTGTACACAATCTTCTCACGGTACTCCTCAGGAATGTTCTGTCCCTGCACAATGTACAAGACAAGTCTGAACCAGACAAACCAGTGATTGATATAAGAAGCATCAAAGCCAAGTCCATAAAGGCACAAAATTAGCCACGTCACAGAGCCTAACCAAATGATCCATTTAGTCAGCTCTTAACACATCACTTATTCTCAAATGAAACACTTGTGGTGACTCTAGTGAGCGAGTATGGTTTTACGCCGCTTTTAGCAATATCACAGCAATATCACGGCGGGGGACACCAGAAATGGGCTTCACACATTGTACCCATGTGGGAATCAAACCTGGGTCTTTGGCGTGACAAGCGAACAATTTAACCACTAGGCTACCCCACCGTCCCTATGGTGACTCTACAGCACACTGAGCACTTACTACAAACATCCAATGATTGTGTGTGTGTGTGTGTGTGCCTAGTGGTTAAAGCGTTGCCTAGTCACGCCGAAGACCCAGGTTCGAATCCCAAAATGGGTACATTGTGTGAACCTATTTCTGGTGTTCCCCACCGTAATGCAGCTGGAACATTGCTAAAACCAAACTCAGTCAGTCAGTCCAATGATCGATGAAGACTGAACTACAATAAGATCCTAATCTAGATGCCCTTAACAACAGGGCAGGTACAGACACACCAAAATCAATCAGAGTGAATCAGAGATCAGCTGATCATGGCAGTTAAGGGCCACAACTCCAGCTACAAGTTTTGGTTTCCCCTGAAGTATCAAGAAGCTCACGATATTGCTTGTGATGCTCTGTCCGTGGTTAATAAGCAGCATGTCCCGTGCCAGCTTCAGTTCGTGCTCAGACAAACCCTCCTCCTCTGACTTCTTTGAAGATTTCTTGCCTTTGCCCTTGACCTTGACCACCTCTGTGACCTGTCTTTCCACAGGTTCAGCAGCCGCTCGCGGGCGTTCATACCTTGGCGTCTGGTCGGTTACCATGTTCTCAAAGATGACCTCATAGAAGGGCAGACGGTTGGGACTAGTGGAAGACATAGACTAATGTGTAAAATGAAAATGGATGAAGAAAATGCTGTGATATGAATGGACGAAAATAATATTATGACCCTTTATTCATTGCAATCAAAATTTAGGTTTAAAAGATGCAAGATATTTTATGAAACATCAAATCCTGAACTGTTCAAATAAATCAGGCAATAAACCAGAGGGAAATACTCTTCAGGAAGAATTTCTCACAGAGATGCTGCTACACATATCCTGCCAAGCACCAGTCTGTGTGAGAAGGGCAGTGTGTGACACATTAGAATTTCCTCAGAGCAGTCATGAATGTATATGTACTTTCCAAGGAATGAAACACACCATTCAGACTTATACAGATTGAGTGTTTATAGATTCTAGGAGACATACTTCACTATGATACTGACTGCCTCCGTGGTGTAGTGGTTAGAGCGTCCGCCCGGAGAGCGGAAGATCGTGGGTTCGATCCCCGACCGCGTCATACCAAAAGACGTTAAAATATGGTACTTGTTGGTCTCTGCCTGGCGCTTGGCATTAATGCATACAACAAGGACTGGTCGGCTCGGAGTCAGTATAATGTGTCTGAGTGGGGTATTCATGCTTCACTGCGGCATGGTATCTCAGTGGGCTAGCACTATAAAACCAGCTTAAGTCTGGGCTAGTACAAGCAGCCGCATACACAAACACATGCATGCATGTCGTCATATGAGAGAAATATTCTCAAGCACGACGTAAAAGCCAGTTTCACCTCACCTCACCTCAATATGATACTGCTTCAGGCTATACAATTATTTTTCTCCATTGACCAAGGCTCTTGATCATGTAACCAGTCGTGAACAGAAGGAGCCTGAAAATGGGAAACTGTATGCTTCATGAAGTGCAAGTTGTGGACATACTTGATAATGCAGTATTTGGCAAGGAAGTCAAGTGGATCACTGACTTCTTGTAGTGCACCTGCTGACATGGGGGCTTCAGCTGGCCGAGACTTTTTCCGATAGTGCATCTTGGGACTGAAAGTAAGAGTGATTCACATGACATTTTGATAACAGCTGTGGCAGGATGCATGTACAATATCATTCGCTAATACAAACAGGTGAAGTTCAGCAGTGTACAGTACAACTCATGTAAAGAAATCCTCTAAACTGTGACACAACACACATTTCCCTGTGCAAAATATTAACATGACAAATCTGTAACTGTAATTCTCCCTGAAGATCAAGTTGAAACATATAGGAGGGAACTTTGTGCTGTGTCATTGTTTTATTGCTTGTCAAAATATATTTTACTGTGTTACACAAAAAGATTGCTTGCCCAGAGACTCTACCTTCTAAAGAAATAGGTTTTTAGATTAAAAACATTGTTTTAACAAGCTTCCATTCAGCCGTACTAATGCTTATACCTACCTGTTAAGCTACCTACCGTGAAGTCGAGTGGAAACGAGGTGTAAACACAAAACAACCCCACCTGTGCAATTACCTCCCCTTCCCTGTCACCAGTCTTTCCCGAGCCTAAGGCCAGAAAGCTGTAGAAGAGCGACAAAAAGGCCTAAGTCCAGAGGGGTGGATGGGTGGGACTAAAATGTTTTAGCTAACATTCAGCCATACTAATGCTTATCCGTCGGCAGGTGGTGGTGGACAAGGCCCAAACAGTATAATTGTGTTTACCCAAAATCGTAAAGAAAGAACAATAACTATATGATTGCAATAATCTACAAAAACATAAGGCCGACCGGCTCTTTATGTAAGCAAGTAGAAAATTAATGAATGATTGAGGATGCAAATATCAACGCCAGAACTCACTAAGAACGACGAAGATATAGCATGTGCAGTATACCAGGTCAGAATCAATGACCAAGTGAACTAAACCACAACAAGCGGTGAAGGAAAACATATTTATTACCCACGAGGTCAACGTATTGGTAGTTGCATACTAATCTCGTACGTCGCACGAGTGTCGTATCGCGTTGACCTGTGTCGTAACGACTTGACCTGAGATTCTAACGACTTGATTGGATAACCGATGACCTCTCAATTAGGTCACATTCTGACGTAACTATTTTTTCATTCATAACAAACACGTGAATTCATTCATTCGACAACTTAAATGCATTGTGGGAATGTAAACATTGCGAACGTTGCCGTGTCGCTGTTTAAATGTGAGTCGAACTGAGACATTATATCCGTCGAAAAACATAAACGCAATGTTTCCACCAGTGATGTTAGCCAAATGAAGCAACTGGAAACCAAGAAACGAGGTGCTGCGGAGTAGTTTACTGTAGGAGGCTGTACGAGGCGATGACAACTGACATGCATAGTGACGTCGGTTACCAAGGCAGTAACGTCATTACAGTGTGACGTCATGCAAATATTGCACTACAGTACAAAACTCTTCCGCAACCTCTTTATGAAACCGGTTTCGGTTTGAAACCAAAAAATAACAAAAATACGCTATTTTGTCAATTTAATGCATGTAAGACATGGGTAATAAATAAAATACCACATGAGGTCTCATTACATACGAATTATACGAAACTCGTGACCTTCCTTTGTTATCTGTCCTCGCTTTCGCTCGGTCAGATACCATAGGAAGGACACTCGTTTCGTATAATTCGTATGTAATGAGACCTCGTGTAGTATTCTCTATGTACGTAATACTGCCTTGCAATGAAGAACAAGAGTGAATCATGTTCACCAACGTTTTATTGAGGTAATTACATGAAGTCGAGATACACAAAGTCAAGAGTCACCGACAGCAGGCGGTGGGAAGTTGTTGCACGACAACTAGTGGCCCAAATTGCTGGATGCCTGCAACATCTGTCGTCGAGATATCCTGCAAATAGTGAGAAGCGAAAACCGAGGTTGATTTCCTCAAAAAAATAGCCTGCAGGGAACAGTCACCAAGGAGAGCTAATGTTGACACAAGCGCCCTAACTTCGCGAGGGTGGGGAGAGGACGGCGGATCCATATTCTGCGCAGCATATCAAAGAGAATCACAGCCCATAACCAGTAAGGAAGAGAATTTCTGGTGGACTAAGAAGTCGGCCACCCGTAGAGGCGTAGCAGAAGACAGAACAAACCCCTGCTTATCATCATACAGTCTACGAGTCGTGACACGATGAGCTGATGAGATAAGCGCCACAGCCTTAGCCAAGTAACCCTTCTTGATCAACGGAGCTTTGAGCAATCCCACCTGTGAAGTTGGAAGTTGTGTAACCCCACCTGTAGGTCATTGCTGTGGGGATGCAAAAGAAGATCTTCCGGGAATGGGAGAGCGAGTAGAGGTTGGTTTACAATGCGTACCAATTCCGGGAACCACGTCCTGGCCAGCCAATAAGGAGAGACCAAAAGCAGACGAAGTCGATTGGTCTGTCAAAATCTTCTCCAAAGGTAACAGAATGGTTGGAGGAAACGCCTAAGCGTTGAGATCTTCCCACGATATCGCTAGGGCGTTGTGGTCCCAAGCCAGCCGATCCGGGACAGGAGACACGAAGCAGTGAAGAGGATTGATGAGTCGCAAACAGATCCACCTGTGGAGTCCAGAAATACTTTGTCAGAAGGTGAAAGGTGATAGCATTGAGCATCCATTCCATGGGAGATGGACGACATGGTCAAGAGAGAGCATAGGCAATCACATTTTTGGCCCTGGAAATATGATGGGCCCGGACCTCTATGTGTAAAGCGCCAACAAAGTCGAAGAACTCAAACGTGAGGTCGAGGAGAGCAGATGACTGGGTCGATCCCAGTCGGTTGATGTAGTGGATGACAACCAGATTGAGTGCCGTCTTGAATTGAATGCCCAACAAGATTTCAGAACGAGGAAGATAGTGGAGTAAAAGCCTGGGGGACATCACTGAGGGTCCCAGGCGTAGCACTGCCATCATTTCCTCCCCCGCGTGCTCTTGCCTCCACGTTTAGGCTAGGAAAAGTACACCCTAATTCTGTCCCCAACAGATCGTCGCGACTTGTTGATCGGTTGGCTCAAAAAACCCTCTGAACATGACGATGTCGGTATCGTTGTTCGGGAACATTGTGCACCGGTTGGCGATGTACAGGTCTCTGGGTAGACGATATAATCAATTGTTTCTCGTTCTCCAGTTCTCGTACTTGTCCAAAACTGAAGGAATGGCTCCATTGAATAATTGAGATGAAGTTCATTTTTCCCGCAAAAGCAGCCTAGTGTGCTGTTGCGGGAGCTTAGACATTGTGAGAAAGCCTTGTCGTCAAAGTTGAGTGACCTGCCCTGAGATATAACGAATGTGTGCTAGCGCATCCGAAGTCCAGTTATGTACGCATGATAGTGTAGCCATCGCCATCCAATCATCATCCGAGAGCTCATCTTTATCCTTGAAGAATTTATTGTGACAATCCATCACAGTGGAAACCATGGCTAATGGTAACAGTTGATGCCGCGCCTCAGCGTCTACAGACTCCAAATGTTTGTCTTCAGTCAGGTATGAAGTAGTGGTAGGAAACAGTAATGCCCAGTCAAGATCTTTAGAGACAGGAGCAGTATAGTCCATCCCATAGGGAAACTTATGGCGCATCCCAGGTTTAGCAAATGGATGAGATGACAACGCTGAGGCAAAAGATGCCTTCATGTCCGTAGGTAGTTTCCTAAAAGATGAAGGCGGTGGAAAATGGAGAGAGTCTAGGGTGTCCCCAAACTGAAAACCCCCAGCTGTTTGGTTTGATGCATCGTAAGCATCCATGAAGTTTGACATCCATGCCAACACTTCATTGTCCTGTGGAGCTTGAGGTGGGCTATCATCCCCTTCATCCAGAACCAGAGTAGGAGTTGAGGCAACATTCAATGGCGGTAGCAGTAGGCACTGTAGAGAACGACGAAGTCGGCTGAACGACAGGGTCGACAGACGGAAAAAGCACAGCACGCAATTGTGTCAAGAAGTCAGCCGTTAAGGTAAGAGAGGGAGGAACTGACGCCGAACTAATCAGCGAGACATCATTGTACACTCTGGACAAAGTAGTAGTCACCGGGGGCAGTGGGGTAGCCTAATGGTTAAAGCGTTGGCTCGTCACGCCGAAGACCCGGGTTCAAATCCCCACATGGGTACAATGTGTGAAGCCCATTTCTGGTGTCCCCCGCCGTGATGTTGTTGGAATATTGCTAAAAGCGGCGTAAAACCAAACTCAGTCAGTCAGTCAGTCAGTAGTCACCGTAGTAGGTCGATTTCGGGGAGAACACACGTAAATATAAGGAAAAGGAAAAGGCTCAAATGAAGTATCCCGCTGATGTGACGAATGACTGCTCGCACGATATCGATCCAGACAAGAAGGTGTGTCGATGAAACCTCAATGCAAGGATTCGCATCAACAGTAGATTGTAATTCCACCGTGTTATTATTTTCATTCAACATGGGCGCTGTACGTTCCATCTGTCTGACATCGTAACGATTATCACTTTCAATTGAGTCCCTATAGCCTGAGTCGGCAGCTGACGACCCAACTTCTTGACCCCAATTCCGGCTGGTTGACAGACGATGTGCCCAGATTGACACAAGATGACAAAGTGTCTGCTGGAGATGGCTCATTCGAACTTTTGTCTCTGGATGATAAATCTTCGACGACGACAGCGTCCTTCGTCTGATCTCGAGATGAAGCACGCTTCTTCTTATAATGCCGATCAGCCTCCCGCTTAGCAATAGCTCTCAAATATACATATCCTCGGACAATTTATCACACAGGATGCATTTCAGTTCAACGGAACATGGAGCATAGCCGTCCTTCGCAAGGCAAGACGGACAACTACTGTGGGGGTCAGTTTCCGTTGACATTTTGAACAAGTGGATGCCATGCTTCATTCAAACAACACGTGTTCACAAGATATTGTGCAAACAGTGTTCAAGTTCATGGAAAAAATTTACTAAAGCAACAAGTACGTTTACACCAAGAAAATAGGGTAAGTAAAAACGTTACTACTCAAACTCTATCAACACTTCCAACAAAGGAAAAATATAGAGCTCTATTCAACATGTCCTTCGGGTACGAAGCGCAGGAAAGATTGGTGACAGGGAAGGGGAGATCATTGCACAGGTTGGGTTGTTTTGTGTTTACACCTCGTTTCCACTCGACTTACGGTAGGTAGCTTAACAGGTAGGTATGAGCATTAGTACGGCTGAATGTAAGCTAAAACATAAAGATATTATTTCGATCTGATAAACTAAAAGTTGATTTGATAGCAATGTAATCTAGGTGTCTGCATAGTCAGGCTTAAGTTTTCATCGGCAGAAAAAACCTCTGACAAATCATGTGTTGCTGTTTATAGGGACGAGATACAAGCAGGACAAAAATACAGGGTTGATGAATGGAAGAATTGAATATGGTTGTTGAATGTAGTGTAGCACTTACAGTCTTCTCACTTTCGGGGGTGATTTCCTTTTCTTCGGGGGAGCCTTCATTTCAGGGGGTCCCTCCACAAAGAACTTCTGAGCCTTGGATCTCTTTCCTTCCTACAAAAGTAAACGTTGAGAGAACAAGTGAGATTTGGCAACTCACCCTGAAAGATTCTTATGATTAAGTCAAATTTCACTTTGGTGAGACAGGAATGGACACATCAAGTAATACAGTTCCAAAATTTGCTGATCATGACATCAAGGGCTGACTGACTGAGTATGGTTTTATGCCGCTTTTAGCAATATTCCAGCAATACCACGGCGGGGGACACCATGAATGGGCTTCACACATTGTACTCATGTGGGGAATCGAACCCGGGTCTTTGGCGTGACGAGCGAACACTTTAACCACTAGGGTACCCTACTGCCCCTGGCATCTAGGGGATTTAAAAAGAATAAGTACATGTTACGTAACATCCCAGTCACAAACCTCAAAGAACGGTGCCACTTTTTTAAGTTTCAAAATAACATAAGACAAAAGTTGATGTTTGGCAAAAATGCTTCCATAGATGAAATGCTTTTGTGAAATGGTTTTCAGTCTCTTGTTTGAGGAAAATAACACACACCATATCAGAGTGAGAATGTCATAATGGGAAAGGGATGGGAACAATCTGAATGAAGAGTGGAAGTGGAACATAAACCGATGGACGTAATGATGTAGAGTGGTGAATTGCACCAGGATGATCACCAAGTTTGAGGCCAAGTCTCACCTGTCCTGGGAGGTGGGTTAGCCTAGCGGTTAAGGCATTCGCTTGTCATGCAGAAGACCCGGGTTCGGTTCCCCACATGGGTACACTGTGTGATGCCCATTTCTGGTGTCATTTGTCGTGATATTGCTGGAACATTGCTAAAAGCTAAACTCACTCACTCATTTACTAACCTGTCCTAATTATCTACAAAATGACTGACTGACGTGACGAGCCAACGCTTTAACCATTAGGCTACCCCACCGCCCCATCTCCAAAATGAGATAATGCAGTGTTGCTATGACAGGAATATCACCTTCTGCTCCTGTCTAAACTGGGGTAGATCTGGCATGCCGACGTTAGGGATGTGCTGCTCCTGAGGGGGCGGAGTCAATGTCTTCTCTCTGCTGGGGGGTAGAGGGCTCCAGTCATCCACAGATTTGGTCTCCTCTGGCTCAGGGGTCACCTCAGGGGTCACCTCAGGGGTCTGAAAGTTCATCTATCCTAATTAGTGGTCCAAAAACATACACAGAGTCTGCTGCATGGGCTGCAGTTCAATTATCACATCTGAGAATATATGAAATCCAGACTACTTTAAACCATGAGGATGACATTTATATGCAGATCTGGTAAGAATTGATCTTCAGTAACCCATGCTTGTCATAAGAGGTGACAAACAGGATTGGGTGGTCATCCTCGCTGACTTGGTTGACACATGTCATCATATATATCCCCATGGCGTAGATTGATGCTCATGCTGTAATCACTGGATTGTCTGATCCAGACTCGATTATTTAGAGACCGCTACCATATTGCTAATTTTAGTTTGTGATACACACAGAGAAAAGGTGACTGGGGTCAATGGACTTTGTAACAATCTGTTTGTTCATTCTTTCTATGTTTTTTCTAACCATGGTTTACTGAGTGTTGTCTTAGATTAAAGTGTAAGAAACTGTGACTCTGGTAGTTATGGAGACATAGGTAAAATGTGAAAGTGCCTTGCCCTTCTTACAGCCATCACAAAATGGTTTTGATATTTACAGCAATTCTCACCTTACGTCTTGTGAATTGTATTGGTGAACGTTCTTTCTTGACGATAGCCGATCTCTGTTTCTTGGGGCTTGTGGGACTGAGGGACTGACGTGGACTTTCTGTTGTGCTGGCTTCCTTACCAGAGTCTGATAAGTAAAGTATATTATCATCAGTTTGGGGGATTATCTCAGGTGTCAGCAGTCAGAGCACATAGCTCTGGCCATCAAGATACGGTCAAGGGACATAACCCTGGCCATCAAGATTTGGTTAGGGCACGCGACCCTAGCCATCAAGATATGGTATGGGGACATAACCCCGGACATCAAGAAAGGGTTAGGGGACATAATCCTGGCCATCAAGAAAGGGTTAGGGCACATGACCCTGGCCATCAAGATAGGGTTAGGGGACAAAACCCTGGCCATCAAGATACAGTTAGGGGACAAAACCCTGGACATCAAGATACAGTCAGAGGACATAACACTGGCCATCAAGATATGGTTAGGGCACATGACCCTGGCCATCAAAATAGGGTTAGGGGACATAATCCTGGCCATCAAGATAGGGTTAGGGGACATAATCCTGGCCATCATGATATGGTTAGGGGACATAATCCTGGCCATCAAGATAGGGTTAGGGCACATGACCCTGGCCATCAAGATAGGGTTAGGGCACATGACCCTGGCCATCAAGATATGGTTAGGGCACATGACCCTGGCCATCAAGATGCGGTTAGGGGACATGATCCTGGCCACCAAGATATGGTTAGGGCACATGACCCTGGCCATCAAGATATGGTTAGGGCACATAACCCTGGCCATCAAGATAGGGTTAGGGGACAAAACCCTGGACATCAAGATATGGTTAGGGGACATAACCCTAGACATCAAGATAGGGTTAGGGACATAACCCTGGACATCAAGATATGGTTAGGGACATAACCCTGGCCATCAAGATAGGGTTAGGGCATCAACATAAACCCTGGCCATCAAGATATGGTTAGGGGACATAACCCTGGACATCAAGATATGGTTAGGGGACATAACCCTAGACATCAAGATAGGGTTAGGGGACATAACCCCGACCATGGAGATACGGTCTAGGGACATAACCGTGGACATCAAGATAGGGTTAGGGGACAAAACCCTGGCCATCAAGATATGGTTAGGGACATAACAAGATACCATGGAGATATGGTTAGGGACATAACCCTGGACATCAAGATAGGGTTAGGGGACATAACCCTGGCCATGATGACATGGTTAGGGGACATAACCCCGACCATGGAGATACGGTCAAGGGACATAACCGTGGACATCAAGATAGGGTTAGAGGACATGGTTAGGGGACATAACCCCGACCATGGAGATACGGTCAGGGGACATAACCCTAGCAGTCAGCAAGCAGAAATCATAATTCTTGACCTAAGCATGTGTTCATGCAGTCAGCATTCAGAGGTCATAATCCTCAATCTCAGTGTGTTATCATGCAGTGTGCATTCAGAGGTCATAATCCTCAATCTCAGCATGTGATCATGCAGTCAGCATTCTGAGGTCATAATCCCTCATCATCTCAGCAGTCATGACATAACCCTGTTCATGCAGTCTGCATTTAGAGGTCATAATCCTCAATCTCAGCATGTGTTCATGCAGTCAGCATTCTGAGGTCATAATCCTCCTCAGTGCATGTGCCATCAAGATAGGTAAGAGGTCATAATCCTCAATCTCAGCATGTGTTCATGCAGTCTGCATTCAGAGGTCATAATCCTCAAACTCAGTGTGTGTTCATGCAGTCTGCATTCTGAGGTCATAATCCTCAATCTCAGCATGTGATCATGCCGTCAGCATTTAGAGGTCATAATCCTCAATCTCAGCATGTGGTCAGGGATCATAATCCAGCATTCAGAGGTCATAAATCCTCAAACTCAGTGCATGTGTTCATGCAGTCAGCATTCAGAGGTCATAATCCTCAATCTCAGCATGTGTTCATGCAGTCAGCATTCAGAGGTCATAATCCTCAATCTCAGCATGTGTTCATGCAGTCAGCATTCATTCAGAGGTCATAATCCTCAATCTCAGCATGTGATCATGCAGTCAGCATTCAGAGGTCATAATCCTCAATCTCAGCATGTGTTCATGCAGTCAGCATTCTGAGGTCATAATCCTCAATCTCAGCATGTGCTCATGCAGTCAGCATTCAGAGGTCATAATCCTCAATCTCAGTGTGTGCTCATGCAGTCAGCATTCAGAGGTCATAATCCTCAATCTCAGCATGTGTTCATGCAGTCAGCATTCTGAGGTCATAATCCTCAATCTCAGCATGTGATCATGCAGTCAGCATTCAGAGGTCATAATCCTCAATCTCAGTGTGTGTTCATGCAGTCAGCATTCTGAGGTCATAATCCTCAATCTCAGCATGTGCTCATGCAGTCAGCATTCAGAGGTCATAATCCTCAATCTCAGCATGTGCTCATGCAGCCAGCATTCTGAGGTCATAATCCTCAATCTCAGCATGTGCTCATGCAGTCAGCATTCTGAGGTCATAATCCTCAATCTCAGTGTGTGTTCATGCAGTCAGCATTCAGAGGTCATAATCCTCAATCTCAGCATGTGTTCATGCAGTCAGCATTCAGAGGTCATAATCCTCAATCTCAGCATGTGCTCATGCAGTCAGCATTCAGAGGTCATAATCCTCAATCTCAGCATGTGTTCATGCAGTCAGCATTCAGAGGTCATAATCCTCAATCTCAGCATGTGTTCATGCAGTCTGCATTCTGAGGTCATAATCCTCAATCTCAGTGTGTGTTCATGCAGTCAGCATTCTGAGGTCATAATCCTCAAACTCAGTGTGTGCTCATGCAGTCAGCATTCTGAGGTCATAATCCTCAATCTCAGCATGTGTTCATGCAGTCAGCATTCAGAGGTCATAATCCTCAATCTCAGCATGTGATCATGCAGTCAGCATTCAGAGGTCATAATCCTCAATCTCAGTGTGTGATCATGCAGTCTGCATTCAGAGGTCATAATCCTCAATCTCAGTGTGTGTTCATGCAGTCAGCATTCTGAGGTCATAATCCTCAATCTCAGTGTGTGTTCATGCAGTCAGCATTCAGAGGTCATAATCCTGAATCTCAGCATGTGCTCATGCCGTCCTCAACACTGCTAAGGATACACTTATACCACATGATCTCAACATTGAACACCCATTCAATGGGGTGTAATTATCAAAACTGTCTGTATTTAATTTTCTACAGGAGAATTATTCATATTGAACTTGCTATACAAATTATTTTCACTTACAATCAGCGATATTTGCTCTGGATGGAACAAAAGGCATACACAGGATATATTCAAGGCAGAGAGAGGTTATTGGCAGAATTTCTGCCCACTCCACAATTAAGTAGGTCTAAAAGGCATGTCTCATGTCCTAGGGTAATAAGAAAAGCTAGATAGTATATCTGAGAGAGAGAGAGTCAGGTCATGTTGTTTCATGATACAATACATGACTCATCTAACATGAATTATATCTCCTATTTCTAAACACCAGGAAGCCGTGGTGTGATGACTAGTCCTTACACACCTACATTGCTAGAGGTTACTATGGTTTCCTCTGTGCCATCAGTATGAACCTGATTTTCACAGAATATTACTGAGGAGAGAAGAGTACATGTAGACGTAACAAAGCCACAATATGGATTAGAAACGGTAGATGGGGATTCATCACTCATGTTATTCAATTACTCACAAGAGGCTTTGTCATTAAAAAGATCATTCTTAGAAAATATATTTATTACGTTAGATTCATGCATATTGTCTTCTTCATATTTAAAACAATCATTATTAAACAATATCAAATAATCTAAACAAATACACCTAGAAAATGAATAAAGATTAGCCAGGCTAAAGACTCACCATACTGTTGATCTTCTCCTAGACCTGGTAACTCCAAATCAGTTTCTGTAACATAGGAATGTTATATCTTGCTGGGTTAAGTAAATTTTAACAGCACATAATTTGGTACACAGAGAAAAACTGCAGGTAAGTTACATATGGAAAACATATTTGCCTTCACTCACCTCTGCCATCCAAAGAGTTTTCAACATCAGAGCTACTCAGTGAGACTATCTTGAGAGCTCGTTCTCGAGCCTGGTCCATTATGGCGAAATCCTTTGATTTTATCTCCTATTTCAAATGATAAGACGTTACCAACTTGAGAATCCTTTTCAAGGACAGTAATAGAACAGGTACCTCAACATGGTACTTAACGGAACAGACTAACTGTTAAAACACCCATCAACATATTAAACACTCAATTGATGATAGTTAGTAATATAACAGCACCCCGCACCCCCAGTACATTGCAGAGGCATTCGATTTGGCACTTGGAGCTCCACTATCCATGAGCTGAATAACCTCCAATCCCTTGTGGTCCTGCCACATCATAACCTAAAACATTTCAACAACTGATAAACATACTCTTCATATTCACAAAAACAAATACATTTTTCAGTTATTTTTCTCTCCAAATGTTGCTAGATCACTTCAGATTTTAGATGATCTCTAACTCTTTTATAGGTTCAAGATGATGATCTGGCACAGTGGAGAATGACTTGGACTTCTGTAATAGAGTATCTTTTCCTGTTGCGAAATTATTCCTTTATATTTTTTTCCTCTATAGGAATTATTCCTGGGAACAGGTGTTACCAGGTAAATTTGTCCATTACACACTGACACAGGCAGTATTTGTTCCCAATGGAACTTATTCCATATCAAACTGACCATTCTGACGTAACTGTTTCCCAGAACCTTGGATCAGTTTACATGGACAAAATATCAGGTCATTCCTTTGACAGAAAATGTGAAAATGTGAAAATTGGTCTTGTTAGTTTGTGATGACACTACTCCAGAAAATAATCAAATTCCAGGATACAATGAATCCAATTGGGTTTGACCATCAGTGGCAGAAGCCATAACACAATGTGACCCATCAACAGTTCATTTTTGACTTGTTGCTTATGTCAAAATATGAGAGTAGATTATCACCTGCCTCAGAACCAGTAGACAATTTGGTTAGTGCACACACAACTGTTGTCTGTAACAGTTCCCATCCTTCAAGTCCATGTACAACACAACTTCTCTGATCCAAGAAGAATACAAAACAGAAATATTAATGAATCTGAAATTCCTCTAAGTCAGAAATCTAAATTGAATACATAAACCAAGAAGTTCCATTAACTCTTGAAGGATTGGCAAATACAGATGAAAATTAAGCAATAAAACCTCTCTGCTGTATCGTGCTTCATGCCCTAATCTCATCAACCCATGACTGTGGCAACCGAACTTGTTTACAATGAAGCCAGATTTCTTTGTTAGTGTTGAGATTAGTTTCCTAAGACGCATGTTTATTTCCAATCTATCACAGCAATAAAGTATGTTATATGATGCCTTGAATGGCGGCAAATCATTAGCTGATTCCTTGCAAGACCGACTCTGCCCCTGGGATGACTGCCATAGATCAGTGTCAGCCCTGCTATGCAGTCAGTAAGCTGTAAGTACAATGCTGGCAAATCTGCCTGTAGGGCTGGGTAAACTTATTACGTTCATGTTTTAAATGGTTCAGTCCTTGTGGTAACAATGTAGTGTGTTTCTTGGAAAGGTTTTTGCATACTGAAAGTTGTAATCTATGTGTGCACTACAAAACATTTAAAAAATAGAACTAAAATATGAAAATAACAATTGAAAAAAAATTAAATTAGTTCATCTGTGTCATTGATCTCAGTGAAGGAAACCTTTCAATGATGTTGTTCTGTAGATTTCCTTTTATCTAATGAAATGTCAATTAATTTTGTACAGTGTATAGATTTTACCACAGGTCCTGTGGAGGAACCACATGACGGAATTCAAACTGCAACTGACTGATCACTTTTGCAAAAGAATTACTTCTGAAAAGGCTAGTTTATCAGCAACACAAAAATGAATATATACATTTATACCGAAGTGGAACTCTTACAGGCAATCAACATCAAACGACTCAACCCAGCAATCAACAGAGATCAAGGTTATTACATCCCCACGGCTTACGATCAACTAATCAAGCCTAATCAAGAATAACCCACCCTTTATCTACTGGCTTCAATCATTCCTATCACAACAAGTCTCATGTCAACACACCGTACATCAACCTCTTCTATTGTATAAACCAATACCCGCCATGTATATATTTTTCCTTGTGCAAATGTTGTGTATCATTTGCTTGATAACGGTGTTAGGATCTACACCAAAACGTCGCAACTACTACTGCAACAAAGAAGTTGTCTATCCATAAAAAGTGTTCCACTTCATCATACCAGCTTCTAAATGCCACTTAAGAAAGATACATTTATACCACATAGCAGTATTCTGCATACATCCGACCTCATCTTTTGCCTCATAATGATCTTGTGTGATGAAGAATATCAATGAGTACATGCGTCCAGTGTGTGTGAGCGTGCGCATGTGTGTGGTTTCAAAAATTACACTGCATTGCAGGGGATAATATCTTTGAATGCACAATGCTTTTAAAAAGTGGTCAAATGTGAAAAACATGTTGTATTTGGGATTACACTTTAATAGTAAATAACAAATTCATTTACTATTTCGAATTTCATGCACACAAAGTCAGTTATCTAACCCATTCAGCCACCGAGGAGAGGCTACATCACTGACTTTGTAACCCGTGAAGATCTGGGTTAGAATTGATCTTCAGTAACCCATGCTTGTAGCAAGAAGTGACTAACAGGATTGGGTGGTCGGGCTTACTGACTTGGTTGACACAAGTCATTGTATCCCAATTGCACAGATCGATGTTCATGCTGTTGATCACACAAGTCATCATATCCCAATTGCGCAGATTGATGCTCATGCTGTTGATCACTGGATTGTCTGGTCCAAACTTGACTATTTCATTGTATCACCATCAACAACCCCATTATTTAAAGGCTCCCCTCATTTTGACTGACAGATGGCATTTAGGATGTTAACCTGCAGGTTGTTTGCTGTATAACACCACACTCACATCTCCATGTTCATTTTCAAAGGGAGCAGGTGGAGAATTAAAAATATATGTACAATACAAAAGAATATAAAGTACATTTATCTGTAATTGAAACTGAAAAGATGTCGGTTGAAAATACATGTACGTGTGAACAACTTTCACAGTTTGTTTAAAGTGCCCAGTTTTCAAATCTAGTTTTTAAAATTAACAGTGTTTAAAAGTGAATATATGCACCTGCACTCATGGCAGGTGTTCTGTTATATTTTCATCCTGAAATGGTTGCTGTTGGCTTGAGTGAATATAGACTACTGAATATAGACTACTGACATACACAGAGCTTTGCAAATTAGGCATGTTTGATATAAATTTGATGAATAACCTTCAGATGATTATACTGAGAGGTGTTCTGTCTGCAAATTACAATGTTAAGTATCTGTTTTCTTTCTATAATATGCATCCCACATTCCTTTAACGCATCTTCAATTATTAGAATTCTGGCCTTACTTAATTTATATCTTATGATACAAAAGCATCACATTCCTTTAACACATCTTAATTTGAATTCTTGCCTTACATCTTCAATTATTAGAATTCTGGCCTTATGATACAAAAGCATCACACTTCCTTTATATCTTATGATGGCCTTACTTAAAGCTTATGATACAAAAGCACATTCCTTCAACGCATCTTCAATTATTAGAATTCTTGCCTTACTTAATTTATATCTTATGATACAAAAGCATCACATTCCTTTAACACATCTTCAATTATTAGAATTCTTGCCTTACTTAATTTATATCTTATGATACAAAAGCATCACATTCCTTTAACGCATCTTCAATTATTAGAATTCTGGCTTTACTTAATTTATATCTTATGATTCACAAACATCATAACATGGAAAAACATGTGAGATCACAAAATAGAAGTGTATGGTGATTATTTACAGTAACAATAGATACAGGTTTTTCTACACAGTCAAGACTTCAAACAGCACGTGATGCATGTTCAGTAAACAACCATGTATTATCCAACAGAAATAATATTCAAATTCATCATCATCATCATGAATAATTAGTAGAAAACAGTACAGCAAAATAACCACACAATTGACCATCACCATGGAAACCAACACAATCTAGACAATTCCATCAATCTTTCACTTCAAGAACCAATCAAAATCAAACTTGCCATTTCAGCTGATCCGTCCAATACCAAGATATTCAAAATAGTAACTACACAAATCTCAAGTAAGAAGTTTTCAGAAAACCCCAAACCACTGCTGAAGTTGTATGTGCTTCTCGGAGTTCTGTCGTATGTTGGCCAACGTACAAGGGGATTAGTGAAGCAACCCTATCACCAGACCTATCTCCCCTGGGCAAACAGGGTTAGTGGGAGAACACTTCAGTCCCACCACGGAAAACCTGTAGATGGGCTATCTTACTAGTCTTTGCTGTAGAATATCAGCATGAGCTGTTCTTGTGCAAGCCAAACAGAGCTTCAAAGGGTGTCTTTTGTCCTCGTTTAAATTCATACGGCCCAAGCGAGGGTATCCCATATCATCTCCTCGTTCAACCCCATTCAAACTCATTTAGGGATCTATAAATACAGGTTACCAGGTTTGCCAACTGTCTTCAATACATTATTGTCAGTGGCTGTGATAGTTATGTGTTGCTTCTTGTCTTGGGTCGCTGACACATAGATGAGTGCACACATATTGCTCACATTATTTATTGTGTAAAAAACAGCGTAGCAAGAAGTCATTTGTACATGTTACAGGTAATAACAACGCCTCTTGGGCACTAATGGTTGTAAATTTATGCAAGTGTCTGTCAGTGGGGTGTGATATAGTTGACAAGTTGATAGCCAGGGATTTTAATTAGACACACATACTTGAGACGCTAGCAATCTTGGCATGATGGCAGTATAATCAGAATGTAAATGCATTATACATGAAGGCAACTTAGTACATACTTGCAGCAGATTAAGATAGATTAGGGGCACAGGTGGGACTGTCATATGAGACAATATAAATTGTTGTGCTGAGTTGTCTTCCTTGGTTGTACCAGGAAGCAAGTACCGTAGTGGTATACATGGTTTCAGCAATTCTGGTGGCCCGTTACTGTGCCTATGTGTTCTTGTATCCTGTCATTGATACAATTTTACCTGTATGACTCTAAGGTGTGATTTGACAGTTCAAATAAACACCCAAAACAAACAGTCATTTCATGTGACACAATTACAATCCGTCAGCATCGTAAAGGCAGACCATTAATGACAAAGCAACATCAATATTTCACATGATACAAAGTAATCAAACCATCAAATCATCTTGTAGGCATGTCCAAGGTTTTTTGGTTTTTGTTTGTTCGCTGAGCGTTTGTTTTTTAAGTGCCGAAAACCATACATATAAGGATATAAAATGGACACTTTATATTACACTCGCATAACCTTGATTCATGGATATAAGGGAAGTGCGGTGAAAATCATATTTTAAATGCACGATTTCATTTTGTATACTCACTGATAAAGTAAATTGAAAATGTCTAATATTCCACTCGTGAATGAAACGTTATAGGAATTATATCACAATGTACGACAGCCCATTCCAGGAAGTAATGACACCTAGGAAAGCGGACTACGGGATGTGAGATGGTTGGTGCTAACGGTATCTTTTTTACTTGACATTTTGTAAAAATAAAATTTGGTATTAGTGGCATTAGTGATCTTAGGCTGTTTATCTCAGTGCTGGACAATTAGATTTAGTGTACTTATGTGTAATGCAGAGATTCGGAACATTTTCCAATGTACCGCTTTGTGACGTCATATGAGACTTAATTTATGGGATAGCATGATAATTACCGCGATCCACAAATCAAGGTTATCCATGAATTTAGGCTACGGTTCTGTACAGGTGTAATCCTTATAACACGATTAACTTGAGCAAGTGAGTTGGGTTTTACACCACTTTTACCAATATTCCAGCAATATCACAGTGGGGACACCAGAAATGGGCTTCACACATTGTACCCATGTGGGGAATCGAAACCGGGACTTTGGCTCGATGAGCAAACACTTTAACCACAAGGCTACCCCATCGCCCCTAACTGACTTGAGCACATTGAGTAACAGCCGATTTGTTTATTTGTGGTACTTACTATTTCTGATGACATGAAGATATATGATTCTGATTTGTTGATCAATTGATATACTACAGGTATTTTCGATGACATAACATGACATGACACATGTGATTGTTAGGATTTTTTTATGGCTGTCATTGTCAGTATCCCATGGTTTAACCAAGACTGCGGTATTGTGAAGGGTTAAGGAATGAATATGACTGCTCACATTACATAAAGTCTTTGACTGGCATTTAGACATTGGTTAAACAACAAGACTTTTCCACTGATTGTTATTACCTTGTTATTTTTGTTTATTAATGTTTACATCTTTACAGATCAATCTCATTATATTCCATGTCAACATGACATTGTCAGTATGTATCACTTTTAGCCTCAATAAGTCAGTTTTAACTTTGACAATTTCAATTTTGAAATTGTAATCTCAATTTCCCTAGTTTATAGGTCTTGGTGACAGTGTAGAGCAGCAGGAAGTACTAAGGGAGATCTTTGGGATTGGTGACTTCCATGTGAGCATCAACATGACATTGTCAGTATGTATCGAAACCAAACTGATTCTCAATAATTTGTGAGTACCCTTTTATAATATGAGTCATGCATTTCATCATTTCGGGAGAACTGTTGTCGAATTTGCTATATTAGTTGTAGAATTGTCATAACTTTGAAATGTAAGCAAATGTGTCGACAGTGTAATTTTGACTTGTAAACTAATGTGTCAAAAGCAAAGTTATTCTTTCATAATTTGTATTTGAGCCTAAACAATTATTCATGATGTACCTTGTATGCAACATTTGGTAAATCAGGTTCTGTATGGCTTCAGCTTGAATCCGCTGAATGACTTATACTGTTCAAGTAATGAAACGCATTATGATGGAAATAAACTGAGGTGTAACAAGAAACAAGAATTGTTTGTTGAGACTGTAACCACTAACAATCAACAAATAATGGTGTACAGGCAAGAAAATGGTCTGTGAAAAAATACCAGAATATATAGAAAATTAACTTACCTGTATTTTGTTGTGTTGAGTCTCTAAAATTGTCCTCTGTGGATTCCTTCAGTGACTCTGAAACTTTAATAAATTTCTCATAAATCCATTATCCTTGCAACATTTGGGTTACTTAATCAAGTTTGGCTGTTATAAGCTTCTTTCAAACTTGTCATTTGCTCCTCTGTCTTTACATGGGGTTCCTGATTTAGCAATCGCTTCATTTGTTACCTAATCTGTGTTTTGACGCTGTAATCATAAATAAGTACCATCAGTATAATAGTACGAACAGATTCAAGATTGCGTACACAGCACATTAACACAAGCCACGACAATTATTTTTCAGGTTAAAATTTTGGTTAAAATATTCTTCAAAAAATACTCTTGAAATATTGAAATAGAAAATTAAAGAAAGATAAACATGATTTACAAAAAAAATTATTATTTTGTATCACAATTAGTTATTCTCCTGCCTTATTACCCCATTAAAAATTCATCATATCTTGCAGATGTTTTTGTAATTCACATTCTAACAGTTATTACATTACTTTACATCAAGGACACTGACATCTGTAGTAGATCTGATCTTCTGTCTCTATCAATATTCCATGATGAAATTCCTTGACATGTTACAGAGCTGTATATTGAGAGTCATCTCCCATACGCAGTAATGCCAGTAGGTAAGTGGTTGTAGTAGGGTATAACTTCAATTTATTTGGTTATATTTTAAAAGCAAAGCAAACACAATTAGTACCAAGTAGACTGGCAACCATGCATTTGATGTTTGCAAACATTTGAACTGCAAACATGGAAATTGACACTCAAAATAAAACACAGCACTCAAACCATTCAACTCTCAAAAAAGTTGACTCTCATTCAGTGGTACTGGTAGCTCTGGTGCTTGGGTATAAGAATGCAAGAACGCATGTTGCTCATGATATTCCATGATAAAATCAAAATTTTGGTTGCACCATAAAATGATATCACTGGTTCTAAAAAGTAACATAAAAACTTGTTTAGCAATTATCAGTATCAGATACATTCAACAAAACCACACCCCATTATGATAAAAGATGGATGATTCTGTTTCAGTTTTGCATAACCTTTATTATTAATCTTTATTATATGATTACTGCTACATTCCTGATTTATGGTGGTAGTGGTAGTCAATAGACTGGATGATGACTACCTGGAGTTATGTTGTTGTAACATATGTTACCAAGGTTGTTATATAAACAATTTGTTGTAAATTTACTTGGTCAAAATGTAAAGTGCTTTTGAGACCCATCAAAATATTTCCACCTTCCTAAAGCTTTTGAGAATCTAAGTGCAATTCGGGTTTTTTTTCCGCAAAACAGATTCTACTAAACGAGAGTCAACTATGAAGAGTGAAGGAATACTGATTTCAAGATGGAGGCTTGGCAACAGATGAGGACAAGAGTTGTATTGTGGGTAATGGCCACAGCATGCTGGCCCAGGAACAACACTCAATACCTGTGTGTGTTTCAATCTTACACTGCCTGATGTCTCCCTTCAGTCTACAGTCAAATCTTAAGCTAGGGGTTGTCTTTTTGTCTTTCGGCCTTCTTTCAGTAGGGAGGCGGGAGTATACTGTATAACTTAATACCCGTGCATTAAACAGGTTTCCTTCACTTCTTCTGGGTTGAAATGAAGCAATATTTGTGATTTGTGGTAAAAGCCTTGTACTTCTAGTGGTATGTGGTCGGGGAGCAGTCTCATTCGATGACGTTAACTTTTCTGTTTGGGAATGTAGATAAACATATTCATCCCCTTTGATCGTCTTGACATTTTTTGTAACAAAAATGCCATAAGTTCTGTAGTTCAACTGCAATGTTGGCAGTTTCAAAATTCATAAAATCTGAAAGAGACTTAATTAACATCCACCTTTTCCACCATTTTAGGCGTTGTCTTGTGGATGTATAACAATATATATCCTGGCCTGTGTCTGAGAACATTCCACATCATCATCTGCAGTATCTCTACTGGCCACAATTCCATAAACCTACACTACATTTTCATTATTTTCATCAGCCAGTTTAATTGGCTACATTCCTCATTATACAAGACCTGTAAGGATCCTAGTTACAACCCGTGTACAAAATATGCATTATGTCGGAAAGCGTACGTTAAATCTCCAAATCATCATCATCTAGTTAAACCATCCTCAATTTTATGTTTCTGATATCATAAAGGTGGCCAAACTCATTGATTAGAAGAGATTTTGTCAGCAATTCAACATAGAAAATTGTCGGACATACTTAAGGAATTCTGTGTGTCGAGTCAGTAATAAGTAAATTACCATACTCGTCACTGTTAGAAACAAATTTATCACAACATCAGTTACATACATTTTGAATTGTAATGAAAATAGTTTCCATTAGGTCAGACCAATTTTATTTCTTGTTTTATGGATCTGCCAGTGGTATTTTTTCAAGAATAAGAAAATAATTAAAATTAATTTTCCCCACTCAAAAAATAAAATCCTAATGTTTTTATTGGTCAAAAATGTAAACTTACAAGAAGTTTTTTTTAGATTGTTTTTTGCCCCATATACACTTCATAAATTGCCAAAAGTAAAATACTTTTAGTATTTAAAAGGAATATTACTTTGGCTGGTGAAAACAAAAATCCTTAAAACAAGAAATAAGATCAGTCTGGCCTAAATAGTAAAATATAAACATTAGACTTAGGTCATGGGAACCAGTCAATTGTTATTGAAAGGGGTGGGGTGGGTTGTTTCCTTAGGGGATATAGGGGGGGGGGTGAGTAGTGGACAGTTGTCAGGTATCAGGGGAGGGTGACCCTACGATACAGAAGAATTGGGGACGGTATTTTGTAATAAAATGTCCAGTGCTTTTTCATTTTGGCAATTCACAGAGGGTCATGTACAAGGAGGATGGGTCACCTGAAAGTATGCCATATACTGGGTGAGTGAGTGAGTTAAAACTTAACGTCACCTCTGCAATATTTCAGCCAACAACACTCAATACTTGTATATTGATTGTGGGTCATCTGAAAGTACCAGGTATGACACATATTGGGGGTTGGTCATCTGAAAGTACCAGGTATGACACATATTGGGGGTTGGTCATCTGAAAGTACCAGGTATGACACATATTGGGGGTTGGTCATCTGAAAGTACCAGGTATGACATATATTGGGGGTGGGTCATCTGAAAGTACCAGGTATGACATATATTGGAAGTGGGTCATCTGAAAGTAGGACATATATTGGAAGTGGGTCATCTGAAAGTATAACATATATTGGAAGTGGGTCATCTGAAAGTATGACATATATTGGGAGTGGGTCATCTGAAAGTATGACATATATTGGAAGTGGATCATCTGAAAGTATGACATATATTGGGGGTGGATCATCTGAAAGTATGACACATATTGGGGGTGGGTCATCTAAAAGTATGACACATATTGGGGGTGGGTCATCTGAAAGTATGACACATATTGGGGGTGGGTCATCCTATCCAATACATGTAGTAAATGTCTGGCATCTAACTTCCACATGATGTTCAACACCTTCGGATCCTGTTATTGACAGCGTTTAGAAATACCTGCCTGCCTGACCGCCCGGGACGGGTTATTTTCAACACGAACTGCCAGATCCTCAAATTCACCTGCCCGACGGTCGGATTAAAATTTAGACATGTGTATATGAAGATATTTTGGGGGCAGGTAAGTTTTGGTCAGGGCTGGCAAGCTTTACATCTAACCAGCCCTGTGGTCTGGCTAAAATTGTTGGGAGTTTCATACCGTTATTGATACACACTACATAACTGCCACAAGTGAGAAAGACGGGATTTACATCACTTTTGACAGTATTTCCCTTACTTAGGCATTTCAAATGCATGTGAAAGACACAAAAAATGTGGTCATTAGACGTACATAACTTTCATTAAAACATGAGAGTAAGTGTATGGTGCCCACACACCTGGGACCACATACAAAATAAATATTGGATTCAAACCCATGAAAGTATAAACAGACAGTAACAACTGCTTTCATATTCCAACCAACTCGGGTTGTACACTGAAGACATTGAACCAGCAACTTTCAGCCTAGGTCAAAATCCCTCGAGACAAAGCCCCTTGGTACAAAAGCCCCTCTGGACAAAAGACCTTCAGAAAATGACCCAAACCCCCTCACTTTATGTATTAATGGGAAAAAAAGATTAAAGACAAGAAATGATTAAGGACATGAAACATTTTATTGCTTCATCATATAATGACCCCCAAAGAATATATAAATTAATATGTAATTAGCAAACATTTTTAGTGAATAAGACTCTTAAACCCTATGGGCATTATTACTCATAACGTTTGGCAAAAGAGGAAGTAAATATCATGTGGGTGGGCAGTGATAGAAATGACAATCTCCTAGTAAATGGAAACACCTAGTGTAATGTCATGTTTACAATAGATACTGTAATGACGTACCTGTCACAACCTCGCTGTCCAGTCCTGAGTCAGGTGACAAGCTTCTCTCAAACTCCCTCCTAGAAGTAAGTGTACAAATAAAATGAATATTACATAGGTGGCTGGCATCACAAGCTCACATGACAGTACTTACCATCACAGTTACTGTTCAACATGTATCACAAATCAGTTATTGTAATCAGCAAGACATGGGTTCAATTCCCCACATGGGTGCAGTGTGTGAAGCCCATTTCTGGTGTCCAGCGCTGTGATGTTGCTGGAATATTGCTAAAAGCAGCGTAAAACTATATTCACACCCTCACCCTCAAAACAACATGTAATCAGATTATATACCAGTTCCAGTAAGAACACTGTGGCTTTTCTCCATACAAATCTCCCAGACAAAGGAATTACTTCTGAAGTTGGTAGTTATTGACCCTTACCGCTTCCTCTCCAGTGCCGACAAATTTGCTTCATCCTGCAACACATATTTAACACAGATATATCGCAAGAGTCTCTTTTGCAAATCTCAAATATTAGTTTCCTGAGATCAACGAACTAACTCAACTAGACAGAAAAAGAATGATTATTGCCAAATTAAGAATATTTCAGAATCTTCTTCGATGGTACTGGTGTTCTTCTGAGATTATATTGGCATTACAGGCTTTTCAAAACGCAAGTTTAAATTTCTCATGATAATGTAGACATGTTTTCCTGCTACATACATCCTGTGTTTGACCTTTATTCCGGGCCCGACCTCCACTTGACCTTGGCTCCCAGAACGATGTACTTTTCTTCTCAAGGGGTTGCAGTTCAAACTTTCGGGGTGGCTGAAACAGTGTTTACAAAAGATGAAGTGGCTGAAACAGTCATCAAAAGGATGAAATTGCTGAAACAGTGTTTACAAAGGATGAAGTGGCTGAAACAGTGTTTACAAAGGATGAAGTGGCTGAAACAGTGATCACAAAGGATAAAGTGACTGAAACAGTGATCACATAGGATGAAGTGACTGAAACAGTGATCAAAAGGATGAAATTGCTGAAACAGTGTTTACAAAGGATGAAGTGGCTGAAACAGTGTTTACAAAGGAAGAAGTGGCTGAAACAGTGATCACAAGGATAAAGTGACTGAAACAGTGATCACAAAGGATGAAGTGACTGAATTGGTTAACACAAAGGATGAAGTGGTTGAAACAGTGATCACAAAGATGAAGTGACTGAAACAGTGTTTACAAAGGAAGAAATTGCTGAAACAGTGATCACAAAGGATGAAGTGGCTGAAACAGTGATCACAAAGGATGAAGTGGCTGAAACAGTGATCACAAAGGATGAAGTGACTGAATCGGTTATCACAAAGGATGAAGTGGCTGAAACAGTTATCACAAAGGATGAAGTGGCTGAAACAGTGTTTACAAAGGAAGAAATTGCTGAAACAGTGATCACAAAGGATGAAGTGGCTGAATTGGTTAACACAAAGGATGAAGTGGCCGAAACAGTGTTCACAAGGATAAAGTGGTTGAAACAGTGATCACAAAAGATGAAGTGACTGAAACAGTGTTTACAAAGGAAGAAATTGCTGAAACAGTGATCACAAAGGATGAAGTGGCTGAAACAGTGATCACAAAGGATGAAGTGGCTGAAACAGTGATCACAAAGGATGAAGTGACTGAATCAGTGTTTACAAAGGATGAAGTGGCAATTATGAGACTTATTTTGCAGTACTTGAAACCTTGCTGAAACAGTGATCACAAAGGATGAAGATCCAGTGAACAAAGGATGAAGTGGCTGAAACAGTGATCACAAAGGATGAAGTGACTGAATCGGTTATCACAAAGGATGAAGTGGCTGAAACAGTTATGATGAACTAAACAGTGTTTACAAAGGATGAAGTGGCAATTATGAGACATATTTTGCATACTTGAATTGAAGATCCTTTAACAGGAGAAAATGAAATTTTTCAGGATTGTGAACCACATTTCGGTTTAAATATATTTTTATTCACTAAAATGAATTTGGATTGGTGAACAAGCTTTATAGTTTATCTTAACACCACTCCCATACAACATATAATACACAGTGAAAAGAAGGATGTGACATCATCGATATTGACTATTATATATATAATATATGTATACATATTACATCAAAATACAACTATTCTCTAAGTAAACAAAAATAGAGAATTACGGTTTTGCGTGTCAAATAAGCCATTTGTAGAAATATAAATCAATCATGGGAAGGTTTTTCTTGAGTTAATTTAATTATCTACTGTGAAAATTTTAAGTGTTGTGTGTTGATGATAAAATCGTGGACAGAGTCAACTATTTTCTGGTTTTCACAGTGAGCAAGTTCTTTGTTTCCGTTCATAATGGTATCCAGGTTGTAACCGATAGTATAAAATACATATTAAGTCTTACCTGAGTTGAGTTACAAGTAAAAAAATAATGTAAAGCATTTACACTCTGATATCAGGTTATCACCCAATTGACAGAGTTGGACAGTCGATTGACAGACAGTCGTTTGACAGACGGTCGATTGACAGACGCTGAACGAGAAGGTTAACAAGAAGACAAAGTCATCAATATCCCCCGCAATGGCAAAATACTCTTCATGTCTCACGAGTTATGATTATGTCAAATATTTAGGTGTGTATATAGAAAAGTGGAAGGAGAGTATTGAAAGGTTTTTAAAGTTCTGCTCCAGAAAGTAGCACTATCACCAATTTCAGGCTAAGTCAAACTTGTTGCCATGGAAACGCCAAAAATATTTTATTCAGAATTGCAAAATGACCAAAAGGCACCAGTACACCACCAGACCAATCTATGTGCCAAGTTTGGTGAAGAAATAGTGAACGGTTTTAGAGTTCTGCTCCGGAAAAGAGCACTACCACTAATTTCAGGCTAAGTCAAACTTGTTGCCATGGAAACGCCAAAAATATTTAATTCAGAATTGCAAAATGACCAAAAGGCACCAGTACACCACCAGACCAATCTATGTGCCAAGTTTGGTGAAGAAATAGTGAACGGTTTTAGAGTTCTGCTCCGGAAAAGAGCACAACCACCAATTTCAGGCTAAGTCAAACTTGTTGCCATGGAAATGCCAAAAATATTTTATTCAGAATTCCAAAACTATCAAAAGGCACAAGTAGACCACCAGATCTATCTATGTGCCAAGTTTGGTGAAGAAATATTGAACGGTTTTAGAGTTCTGCTCCGGAAAAGAGCACTACCACCAATTTCAGTCAAAGTCGAACTTGTTGCCATGGAAACGCCAAAATATTTTATTCAGAATTCCAAAACTACCAAAAGGCACCAGTACACCACCAGATCCATGTATGTGCCAAGTTTGGTGAAGAAAAATTGAACGGTTTTAGAGTTCTGCTCCGGAAAAGACAAATGTGCACGGACGGACGCTAGGACGGAGTCCATTTTAATACCCCCCGCAAAACGCGTTGCGGGGGATAATTAGGGTAACACCTACGGGTATAATGAAACAGTCCAAAAGAGCAACACAGACTGTCCATTAAATGTCTGTTATACTCATCGGCGTTTAAGACCCACATTTTCAGTAAGGTGTAGTGGTGTGACGATTCATCGATACGCATCGATACATCGATCCATTGGCCGCAGATACAGTGAATCGATACATAGAGATTACTAAACGAGTGTCTGTCAGATACCATTTATCTTACAAAGAGTTGTAAGATAAATGGTATCTGACAGACACGAGTACAGTAATCTATTTCTTACACACCTAAAATCACACCACTTTTTGCTCAAATCGATGCACTTTTTGCCCTTTCTATGATTGTAGCGGCGCATTGATACATAACACAAGGTCATGAATGAGTGACGTCACTCAGCAGACTACTTACTACGAATACATTGTGTAACCCTCCACAAAAGAGTTTCAGTCGTATTTGTGCATTTTTAAGGCAACAACGATGATGTAAACAGATAAGATCAAAGAACTTTTATTAAACACTCAAAAAACATGACTTTGCAACTGTATATGGTTCTCTGTCAAGTGAAATTAATTTCACAGTGTGACGTCATTATTATCGTTCCGAACATGTGCTAGGTGACACTCATTCAATTTGAATACAGTCGTCATCGGAAGGATAGCTTAGATTTCTTCGCACGTGGGGGACTTGCACTTCCGTAAAAGTTAATGTTGAATGTACCCCCATACACCAGAGCTGAAAATATTGAGAACAGTTTGGTTACGTTCACAGTTGAAGGGAAGCTACTCTTCGTTGACACAGCCTGCTTGCTTTCATGGCGTTCGACACTGCCACTAAGGATGTGACTGATGTTTCGGTGTTGCGAGGATGAAATTTGACTATAGTTGTTTACACCCTGCATGTTGTGTTGGCCTGATATCTGCATAATGTGAGTTGGAGGAATATTTTCATCAGACAGGTTTTGGACAAGGAATTTTCTTGCAGAATGGTTTGTGAAGTTCCTGTTTTCAAAGCCAGCATTTTTTGACATTCGTCTCATAATGGAACTCAGTTTATTTATACCAACAGGTTGTCGTTTGAACCAGGGGAATTTGCTAGATGGTTCCTTGGTGTTAGTGGCAATATAGAAAGGTGTATCTGGACTGGAGTACCCTGCAGGACGGAGGCTCGAGTACAGCTTGTACATGGATACTGGACAACATTCATCATTAGTAGCCCATGCTTTGGGGTGCATGTTACGTATACCCAAAGGATTATCCCCTTTTGCATGTTTTCGACTGCCTCTCTGTGAATTCAAGAAATTCTCTACCATCTGTGTCAGTTTTAAGTGCAACATCCCCCCATTTCATGTCAGTGTGTGGTTTGACACTACGGATCCCAAAATGAGTGGTGCTGTTCCACCACATGGTGTTCAAAATGGATTCGGGATCGTGAGGACCAAGTTGTTTTGTTTCATAGAGTTTGTTAATGTCATCGCCAGTGAGCGATTCAGCACGGCCGCAGGTAGGTTACCCATTCCTTCACTCTTTAGGACTTTTTGTTTTGTTTTGATCACAGTGTTTAACTTTTCGAATTCACGATCATTGATAAGTGATGAACAGTAGTGCTTTGACTTAAGGTACCTGTCAAAACTGGACAAAATCCCGCGAACTGTAGATGGTTCATAATTGCTACCATCTTCCTTTCTGAGGCTAATAAAAAATGTACACAAAATGTCACAAAGTTCTGTTGGTTGTATGGACTCGATAGGGCGTGTGTCGCCATTTGCAATCATGAATCCTTGCAAACGCTCATGTTGTACATTGTTTTACGTTGTGTGTTTCGGTTCTGGTTGTCATGAACGAATTTGTCAATTTGAGAATGATCATATAGTTGTTCAGGGTTTGGGGATCGATCCGCATCGTTACAATCACCAGGTTCATCGGTCAAAAATCATCCTTCATCAGTTCATCAATTAGGTCAGTAGGTAAATCGATCTCACCACAAACTGGCACTGACATTTACGTGTCAGGTAATTTAAGTAAGGCGATACCTTGAAACCTGTCGCATCTCTCCTGTATAAGTTCTAATGTTGTAAATGTTGTATGTTCCAAGGGGAGCCACAATGGAGATAACACTTTGTCTTTACCATCGATCTTCACGTAATCGTTTACACAGATGCTACTTATTGTTAAAGCCATTTTGAAGTCGTGACTATGCATAATCTGCAGCAACTACGGTAGCAGACGACAAAGGAAAAAAGCAAAGAAAATATGTACATGTTACTATCTAATTTAAGTTCGGTTTATTTCATAATTGCATACTTACAAGACAGTCGCACAAATACGGTAGGCGACAGCTGAACAGAAATTTAAAGTGTTTGGCACGAGTAGCAGGTCTGCATTCGATTGAAGCACGAGAAAGTTATGAATGAAATTTAATCAGGAAAGTAGTCCGTCATAACCTGACCCTAGGTCATCACCATGGAGTAGCCAATCACGGGATTAGAAATCGATCTCACACATATGTGTGATACCAGTTTTCTCACATGGGTTTCTCACCCACGGGTGTGTAAGAAAAGGTTTTACATTATCCTATATCCCCATACGATACTTCAAATGTTTCAGTGTGAATATTGCCGAATCGCGATATCTGTCAAGAAAAAAGACTCACTTTTGTTTGATGATTAAAATATTTGCTTACCTATTTTCCCTTCATAAGTAAACGTTTTCTCGGAAATTCTTCTGTCAAGAACTGTGTCAGACAGCGCTCACATGTTATTATCATTCACAAAGTCTGTGTATAAACTTAATTATCTCGTTTCTGAATGAACATTGAAAAACGTGGGGGAATTTGACGAAATATTTTAAAATGGTTTTGTTTTGATATTCAGGTGTTTTATAGTTGGTGTTAGAATTAAATATTTTAGTATCGTTATACGTATCGTATCGTCACCCTTATATTGGGATTCGTATCGTATCGCAGCTTCAGTGCACGATACTTTGGCAATATATCATCGTGACTAAAATTTTAGCATCGTGATGTATCGTATCGCAGGTTGTATGCCAATACCAGCACTAGTAAGGTGATGCTTCCTGTTTTAGACTATACACATCTAGCACATGTAACTTGCCATGGCTAATAAAGACATATTTTAGATTCATTTGATTTGGATTAGTTGGTAGGTTGGTTTGTTGTTTAATGCAGCAGAGAGCAATATTCCAGCTATATGGCGCTGGTCTGTAAATAATTGAGTCTGGACCAGACAATCAAGTCAAAAACAACATGAGCATCAATCTACGCAATTGGGATATGATGACATGTCTACCAAGTCAGCGAGTCTGACCATCTGATCCCATTAGTTGCCTCTAACGAGAAGCATGGGTTGCTGAAGACCATTCTAACCATTTCATTTGGAACAGATTTAGTACCCCTAAAATATGTTCAGCAGACGTACCATGTTTTATGATGCAGCCAAATCAAGTCAAAGATATTTATTGTCATTAAGGCCTCCGGCCCATATACAAGGAATACAAGTATATATACAGCACATGTTACAGACATTTCACAAAGAAATTACAGTTCAGATAAGATATTGCTTCTAAGGAAAACAGCATGTTTTACATAAAGCGCAAGATTACGTATTACATTTTCATTTTTGGAGGATAGAATGGAAGCAAAGGCAGATGAAGGATATTTCAACAGGTAATTATTTGGGATATATTTTTTCTTAAATCAGCATAGCATTGGGCATACAAAAGCGAAGTGAATTTCATCTTCTATAGCCGAAGTTACCTAATGGACATATCCTTAAACGCCTCTCTATTGAAAATCGTCTGCCCTTATTTACTGATAAGTCTAACAAGCCCAATCGAAAATTGACAAGTTAAGGCCTGATATATCTAGATGTCAATACAGATAGATATAGTTCTGGTTGAATTAAGCTCTTATGTGATCTATACAACTGGTATCTTGAACTATTGTCTAGACAGGAATGCCATTCTTGATAATACATGCTAACAGATTGTTCTCGAAATTGCTTAAGAAATAGATTAATATTACCAACTGTTTGATTTAGCCACACAAATCCCAAGCCATGAGAAAATAAAAGAGTTCTAATATGAGATGCCCATGTTGTCTTACCCCTATCATCTAAATGTACAAGCATGTTATAAGCTAGTTTGGGGATTCTTTGTTCGTGCATTCCAAGGATCTTTAACCAATATTTTAAACATCTGATTTGTGAATTTATATATATCGGATATCTACCACATTCTCAATAAACCATACAAATTGGTGTTGCTCACGCTACATTTAAAAATCTTTTACATGCTAAAAGGTGTAGTTTCTCTAGACATTCATGACGTTGAAATCCCTAAATTTCAGTTGGATTTGTGCATCAAACAATTTAAAATATATTTTCGGGGGTTAAAATTCCAAAATTCTGGGAAACTGACATAACATTAATAAGAGCCTTCTTAGCACGTGATTTCAGGTCTATAACAGTCTTTTTAAAGTTCATGGTATGGGAAAACAATAGTCCGAGATAGGTATACTGATTAACAATAGATACGTTTTTGCCACTCAAAAACATTTTTCTTTAGAGGCGACAGGCCCACCTCTTCTAAAGATAACTATGTTTGTTTTTTCAAAATTAACACATAATTTCCATTCATTTGTATAACGTTCCCAAATATTCAGTTGGTTTTGTAGACCAACGATAGTATCTGACACTAAAATTACATCATCGGCGAAAAGGAGGATAAAAATTTCAATCATATCTGGAAACATTTGCACACCATGTTTACCTGCATTGGAAATATCATAATACAGTTCACTTATAAAGAAGGAAAACAATACAGGGCTTAAAATACACCCTTGCTGAACTCCCATGGGACAGTCGAAAAAAACGGTGACATCATCACCACAAATGAACACATGATTTAATATTCAAGTACATAGATTTTAAAATAGAATACATTTTCCCTTGTAAACCAGACTTTTCGTAAGCAGTGCCATAATTTACAACGATCCACAGAGTCAAAAGCTTTCTTAAAGTCAACAAAAGCTACATAAAGTTTGTGTTTATTATGCGATAGACACTTTTGTATTATTGCATATAGTGTAAAGATATAGTCAGTAGTTGAATAATCTTTTCTAAAAGCCGCCTGACATTCAGGAATTAAGTTTCTTAGATTTGACCAGTTTGAGATTCTGTTGTTTAAAACAGTTGTAAATATTTTCCCAATAACACTCATTAAAGATATGCCTCTATAATTATCTGGATTGTCTTGAGCCCCCTTTTTATGTATAGGGACGATAATTGAACGAGACCAGCTTTCTGGAAACGAACCGCTTTCAAATACAGTATGAAAACACTTATGGAGGAAGGGCATTAACTCCATTTGAGAACATTTAATCATTTCGATTATAATATTGTCGGGACCAGTTGCTTTAAGTTGTTTATAGCATTCTTTATCTCATCTACTGAAATTTGTGTTTCCAAAATCATTTGATCAACAGTGTCATAGTCATTCGAAGAGATAATATCATCATCGAAGGAATAACCATCGCTTGGAAAAACAGCATCATTAGAAAAAACTGTCTTGAAATGTGTCATCCATTCACATTTTGAAATATTACTTTTAGGATTTGATCTCTTTCTAAATGAACGAATTTGTTTCCAGAACATAGCAGGATTGTGGATAGAATCATTCAATCTGTTCAATCTTTGATTACGCAGGTTAGATTTGAATTTTCTACATGAAGCTTTGTATTTGTTTCGGCTTGACCTTGAACAATACAATGATGCAAAAGAGCAGACCCACCTTCCAGTTTGATGCAGATTTCTGGAATTCCACAAACTGTGTGGTGGAACTGTTGCCCTTCTTTATGTCCAGGGGCCTCCCCTTTGGGATGTCATATTGGCGGTCGGTAGAGAATGGAGACCTTGATATAACGGCCTGTCGTTGCCTCTTCTTCACCTTGAAGAACCTTGGTGCTGACGAGGGAGATGGAGCAAAGGTATAAAAACACAAAAACAAAAACAAATGTTTACGCTATGTATGGGACAGTGGTGGCCTGGTTGTCGAAGGCACAGCATTGACTATGAATTCAAATCCCAGTTCACCCTGCTTACGTTTTTCGCTTCATCAGCCACATACCGGTCTTATGAGATTTGCATCATTCCTGGCTTTCATCCCAGTTAAGCTGACAAGTCATCATATAAATGTTGAACAATATTCCTTATACCAAACTCGCTCATCCAGTCTCTCACATTGTGTTAATAATGGTTCAATTATCATTTTATTGCTTAAACATGTACAAGGATCTTCCTGTCACTTGCAGAAACTCACGGTTATATTTAAGATTAGAATTTGCTCTGCTTTGAGCAATATTCCAACAATGTGCTAATACTATTTACCCTTGTCAGTGATCAAACCCAGGCCTTGATCATGACAAGCTAATGCTTTAACCACTAGGCTACACCCCCACCCCACCCCACCCCCTGTGGACATATGACGAATCAAGATACCTTTATACAAACGCTGCTTCTTTGAATCTGGGTCTGTAGTATCTGAAATATTCATGGAAATATATGAAATGTCTATAGCGAAGAAAATAGTCACTTAGACTTAAGATAAAGATTCTCAACAGTATATGCAAGCCAGGTAGAGCCAGTTATGATCTGCTAAATACCTCAGTGTTCAAACTCTTGTGTATATATGTATTGACAATGTTAATCCTGAGGTTTTTAATAGAGAAACATAGGGTGGCTATTGGTTGAACCAAGGAAATATACAGGTCTTGATTTTGTTGCAGTGTTTAGCAAGTTCATCATCCTATGTACAATAATGTTCAGGATAGGAAAAGAATGCAGAAACCAAACATATTTTCAAACATGAGTCAAGTTAAATATTCTGATTCTGAAATTCTTGTACAAATCATCAGAACATAGCATTTTCTCCCAATCCTAGACAGACAGATATTCTCCCAAACCTAGACAGACAGATATTCTCCCCCCAGCCTAGACAGACAGATATTCTTCCAAACCTAGACAGACAGATATTCTCCCCAGCCTAGACAGACAGATATTCTCCCCAGCCTAGACAGACAGATATTCTCCCTATCCTAGACAGACAGATTTCCTCCCCAGCCTAGACACACAAATTTTCTCCCAATCCTGGAGAGACAGATATTCTCCCCAGCCTAGACAGACAGATATTCTCCCAATCCTAGACAGATATTCTCCCCAGCCTAGACAGACAGATATTCTCCCCAGCCTAGACACACACACATTCTCCCCAGCCTAGACAGACAGATATTCTCCCCAGCCTAGACAGACAGATATTCTCCCCAGCCTATACACACACATATTCTCCCCAGCCTAGACACACACATATTCTCCCCAGCCTAGACAGACAGATATTCTCCCCAGCCTAGACACACACATATTCTCCCACGAATGGACACACACATATTCTCCCCAGCCTAGACAGACAGATATTCTCCCCAGCCTAGACAGACAGATATTCTCCCCAGCCTATACACACACATATTCTCCCCAGCCTAGACACACACATATTCTCCCCAGCCTAGACACACACATATTCTCCCACGCCTAGACACACACATATTCTCCCCAGCCTAGACACACACATATTCTCCCCAGCCTAGACACACACATATTCTCCCCAGCCTAGACACACACATATTCTCCCCAGCCTAGACACACACATATTCTCCCCAGCCTAGACACACACATATTCTCCCCAGCCTAGAGAGACAGATATTCTCGCCAGCCTAGACAGACAGATATTCTCCCTATCCTAGACAGACAGATTTTCTCCCCAGCCTAGACACACAAATTTTCTCCCAATCCTGGAGAGACAGATATTCTCCCCAGCCTAGACAGACAGATATTCTCCCAATCCTAGACAGATATTCTCCCCAGCCTAGACACACACATATTCTCCCCAGCCTAGACACACAGATATTCTCCCCAGCCTAGACACACACATATTCTCCCTAGCCTAGACACACACATATTCTCCCCAGCCTAGACAGACAGATATTCTCCCAATCCTAGACAGATATTCTCCCACGCCTAGACAGACAGATATTCTCCCCAGCCTAGACACACACATATTCTCCCCAGCCTAGACAGACAGATATTCTCCCAATCCTAGACAGATATTCTCCCACGCCTAGACAGACAGATATTCTCCCCAGCCTAGACACACACATATTCTCCCCAGCCTAGACACACACATATTCTCCCCAGCCTAGACAGACAGATATTTTCCCCAGCCTAGAGAGACAGATATTCTCCCACGCCTAGACACACAGATATTCTCCCACACCTAGACAGACAGATATTCTTCCAAACCTAGACAGACAGATATTTTCCCCAGCCTAGAGAGACAGACATTCTCCCACGCCTAGACACACAGACATTCTCCCACGCCTAGACACACAGATATTCTCCCACGCCTAGACACACAGATATTCTCCCACGCCTAGACACACACATATTCTCCCCAGCCTAGACACACACATATTCTCCCCAGCCTAGACACACACATATTCTCCCCAGCCTAGACAGACAGATATTCTCCCACACCTAGACAGACAGATATTCTCCCAAGCCTAGACAGACAGATATTCTCCCCAGCCTAGACAGACAGATATTCTCCCTATCCTAGACAGACAGATTTTCTCCCCAGCCTAGACACACAAATTTTCTCCCAATCCTGGAGAGACAGATATTCTCCCCAGCCTAGACAGACAGATATTCTCCCAATCCTAGACAGATATTCTCCCCAGCCTAGACACACACATATTCTCCCCAGCCTAGACAGACAGATATTTTCCCCAGCCTAGAGAGACAGACATTCTCCCACGCCTAGACACACAAACATTCTCCAACGCCTAGACACACAGATATTCTCCCACGCCTAGACACACAGATATTCTCCCACGCCTAGACACACAGATATTCTCCCCAGCCTAGACACACACATATTCTCCCCAGCCTAGACACACACATATTCTCCCCAGCCTAGACAGACAGATATTCTCCCCAGCCTAGACAGACAGATATTCTCCCTATCCTAGACAGACAGATTTTCTCCCCAGCCTAGACACACAAATTTTCTCCCAATCCTGGAGAGACAGATATTCTCCCCAGCCTAGACAGACAGATATTCTCCCAATCCTAGACAGATATTCTCCCCAGCCTAGACACACACATATTCTCCCCAGCCTAGACAGACAGATATTCTCCCCAGCCTAGACAGACAGATATTCTCCCCAGCCTATAGACACACACAGATATTCTCCCCAGCCTAGACAGACAGATATTCTCCCAGCCTAGACACACACATATTCTCCCACGAATAGACACACACATATTCTCCCCAGCCTAGACAGAGACAGACATTCTTCTCCCCAGCCTAGACAGACAGATATTCTCCCCAGCCTAGACAGACAGATATTCTCCCCAGCCTAGACACACAGATATTCTCCCAAGCCTAGACACACAGATATTCTCCCCAGCCTAGACACACACATATTCCCCAGCCTAGACAGACACATATTCTCCCAGCCTAGACAGACACATATTCTCCCCAGCCTAGACACACACATATTCTCCCCAGCCTAGACACACAGATATTCTCCCCAGCCTAGACAGACAGATATTCTCCCCAGCCTAGACAGACAGATATTCTCCCCAGCCTAGAGAGACAGATATTCTCCCCAGCCTAGACAGACAGATATTCTCCCCAGCCTAGACAGACAGATATTCTCCCTATCCTAGACAGACAGATTTTCTCCCCAGCCTAGACACACAAATTTTCTCCCAATCCTGGAGAGACAGATATTCTCCCCAGCCTAGACAGACAGATATTCTCCCAATCCTAGACAGATATTCTCCCCAGCCTAGACACACACATATTCTCCCCAGCCTAGACACACACATATTCTCCCCAGCGTAGACACACACATATTCTCCCTAGCCTAGACACACACATATTCTCCCACAGCCTAGACAGACAGATATTCTCCCAATCCTAGACAGATATGTTCTCCCCAGCCTAGACAGACAGATATTCTCCCCAGCCTAGACACACACATATTCTCCCCAGCCTAGAGAGACAGATATTCTCCCAATCCTAGAGACAGATATTCTCCCCAGCCTAGACACACACATATTCTCCCCAGCCTAGACACACACATATTCTCCCCAGCCTAGACACACACATATTCTCCCCAGCCTAGACAGACAGATATTTTCCCCAGCCTAGAGAGACAGATATTCTCCCACGCCTAGACACACAGATATTCTCCCACACCTAGACAGACAGATATTCTTCCAAATCTAGACAGACAGATATTTTCCCCAGCCTAGAGAGACAGACATTCTCCCACGCCTAGACACACAGACATTCTCCCACGCCTAGACACACAGATATTCTCCCACGCCTAGACACACAGATATTCTCCCACGCCTAGACACACACATATTCTCCCCAGCCTAGACACACACATATTCTCCCCAGCCTAGACAGACAGATATTCTCCCCAGCCTAGACAGACAGATATTCTCCCACGCCTAGACACACAGATATTCTCCCACGCCTAGACACACACATATTCTCCCCAGCCTAGACACACACATATTCTCCCCAGCCTAGACAGACAGATATTCTCCCCAGCCTAGACACACACATATTCTCCCCAGCCTAGAGAGACAGAAATTCTCCCACGCCTAGACAGACAGATATTCTCCCACGCCTAGACAGACAGATATTCTCCCCAGCCTAGACAGACAGACATTCTCCCACGCCTAGACACACAGACATTCTCCCACGCCTAGACACACAGATATTCTCCCACGCATAGACACACAGATATTCTCCCAAGCCTAGACAGACAGATATTCTCCCACACCTAGACAGACAGATATTCTCCCACGCCTAGACAGACAGATATTCTCCCCAGCCTAGACAGACAGATATTCTCCCATGCCTAGACACACAGACATTCTCCCACGCCTAGACACACAGATATTCTCCCACGCCTAGACAGACAGATATTCTCCCCAGCCTAGACAGACAGATATTCTCCCAAGCCTAGAGAGACAGATATTCTCCCACGCCTAGACACACAGATATTCTCTCCAGCCTAGACACACAGATATTCTCCCACGCCTAGACAGACAGATATTCTCCCCAGCCTAGACAGACAGATATTCTCCCAAGCCTAGACAGACAGATATTCTCCCATGCCTAGACAGACAGATATTCTCCCCATGCCTAGACAGACAGATATTCTCCCCAGCCTAGACAGACAGATATTCTCCCCAGCCTAGAGAGACAGATATTCTCCCCAGCCTAGACAGACAGATATTCTCCCACGCCTAGACACACAGATATTCTCCCCAGCCCTAGACAGGTACAGGAGACAGATATTCTCCCAGCCTAGACAGACAGATATTCTCCCAACCCTAGACAGACAGATATTCTCCCCAGCCTAGACAGACAGATATTCTCCCCAGCCTAGACAGACAGATATTCTCCCCAGCCTAGACAGACAGATATTCTCCCTAGCCTAGACAGACAGATATTCTCCCCAGCCTAGACAGACAGATATTCTCCCAAGCCTAGACAGACACATATTATTCTCCCACAGACCCTAGACAGACAGATATTCTCCCAAGCCTAGACAGACAGATATTCTCCCAATTTTAGAGAGACAGATATTCTCCCCAGCCTAGACAGACAGATATTCTCCCCAGCCTAGACAGACAGATATTCTCCCACGCCTAGACAGACAGATATTCTCCCAATCTAGAGAGACAGATATTCTCCCAAGCTTAGACAGACAGATATTCTCCCAAGCCTAGACAGACAGATATTCTCCCAATCTTAGAGAGACAGATATTCTCCCAAGCCTAGACAGACAGATATTCTCCCAAGCCTAGACAGACAGATATTCTCCCAGCCTAGACAGACAGATATTCTCCCAATCTTAGAGAGACATATTCTCCCAAGCCTAGACAGACAGATATTCTCCCAAAACCTAGACAGACAGATATTCTCCCAATCTTAGAGAGACATATTCTCCCAAGCCTAGACAGACAGGTATTCTCCCCAACCCATATTCTCTCCATCCCAGACAGACAGATATTCTCCCAAGCCTAGACAGACAGATATTCTCCCAAAACCTAGACAGACAGATATTCTCCCAATCTTAGAGAGACATATTCTCCCAAGCCTAGACAGACAGGTATTCTCCCCAACCTAGACAGACAGGTATTCTCCCAATCTTAGAGAGACATATTCTCCCAGCCTAGACAGACAGATATTCTCCCAAGCCTAGACAGACAGATATTCTCCCAAAGCCTTCTCCCAGACAGACAGACATTCTCCCAAATCTTAGAGACATATTCTCCCAAGCCTAGACAGACAGGTATTCTCCCCAACCTAGACAGACAGGTATTCTCCCAATCTTAGAGAGACATATTCTCCCAAGCCTAGACAGACAGGTATTCTCCCCAACCTAGACAGACAGGTATTCTCCCCAACCTAGACAGACAGATATTCTCCCAATCTTAGAGAGACATATTCTCCCAAGCCTAGACAGACAGATATTCTCCCAAGCCTAGACAGACAGATATTCTCCCAATCTTAGAGAGACATATTCTCCCAAGCCTAGACAGACAGGTATTCTCCCCAACCTAGACAGACAGGTATTCTCCCACGCCTAGACAGACAGATATTCTCCCAAGCCTAGACAGACAGATATTCTCCCAAAACCTAGACAGACAGATATTCTCCCAATCTTAGAGAGACATATTCTCCCAAGCCTAGACAGACAGGTATTCTCCCCAACCTAGACAGACAGGTATTCTCCCACGCCTAGACAGACAGATATTCTCCCCAACCTGGAAGGACATGACATCTCCCCAGCGTCGTAGACTGACCAATATTTTCCACAGCTATGAAGGAGAATAAATCTCCCCAACATAGACTGACATACATTGAAAATGTCAAGTGCACTCCGATTCACTGTAGGTGCGATAACAAAGCAAAACTTTGATCATACATTTTGTATTGAGTTCTGCACTTTAAAAACAATCTATTCCTATTTTATACACACATGGATTTTACCAATACATGATCTCACAATACATGTACATTGATCTTCCGTACTGAATCTGCTCCTTAAAGGACATCTGAGCCTAGATTTTCGAAGCTCTCTTAGCGTTAAGATAGTCGTAAGTTAACGTTAATGTATGGCACTTACAACCTTAGCCCTAAGAGAGCTTCGAAAATATAGGCCCTGGCTATTTCATATTCTAATCAATTCAGTACCTTCCTCCTTGTCAGAGTCGACGTTGTTGCTGGCATCATGCATGCTGTCACTGTCCCAGCCTCGAAGCTGGTTTGTGTCGGTCTTGAAATGGTCTTCGTGGTCTGCCTCACTGTGGGTTCTACAGGATCACTCTCCTCTTTCTTCACCTTCGTCTTCAGCTTGAAGGCTGCAGAATATACAAAATATGAAATCAAAATGAACCTATATTGTAAAAAAAAAACACAAAAACCTTAGGCACCGTCCATAATTTATTTCTAGGTGGAGTGATGATGATTTTTATAGAGAAGCATTTGCAATGTGATTGACACCCCACATCCCCACCCCCAATGTGAATAGATGTACAATGTAAGCACCCCCCTCCTCTATGCTGGTAAAGATCAAGTTAACCATGCTTGTCATAGGAAGCGGTTAACGGGATCAGAAGGCCAGGTTACTGACTCATGATACAAGTCATCGTATCTCAATTCAACTGTGGACAGTGATGCTCATGACGACAGTCACTGGATTGTTTGGTTCAGACTCAATCAATTACGGACCACCATTAAGTTGCTGGAATGTTGCCATGAGGAGAGTTAAACAATAAAAAAATACATTTTGTGTGCACGTCAGTGAAATAATGAAAGGAAATGTTTAACCCCCAAAAATCAAATATTCACATGAGAATTTGCATTTTGAAAAACAGTGGGATATATTAACCTTCTTCTACAATATACCATCATAGCCCACTAAAGGGCACACATGCCTGCCTTCTGTATATCACCACCCGTAACCCATGCAGAAGGCTGTCGGCACATTTGCACTTGTCCACACAGTGTCGTTATATGTGACTGTTTAATGACTGGTCCTTGAGTCATCTATTCAAATCTCAGATTCTCCATGGTTATAATCTTTGGTTTTTCTGCATTCAGAGATCTTTCAAACACACTTTTCAATGATTCAATATTTATTGTCCTATGATAAATATTCGGTTACAAAAGTGAGGCAAATCCTTGGATCATTGGAAAATTGCCTGTGTACAAGTGACTTTATTTCACTCAATCTGCAGTGGTCATCACCTGTATTTATGTGCATTGGCACAATAAATAGTTGATTATTTCTCAATCACACTCTTCCCTTCAACTCGGTGCCCCATGTAAGTTTGTGGTTCTCATGTAATCGTACACCAGCACCGAGTTTTGATATCTATGCTATGCTATCTATTTTTGTGTTTTTCATCGCCCAACTGACTGTAAATTGGGTGCCGACCCAATAATATGAAAACATTCTTCTATTTCTACCGATTTCATTTGCTTGAAGACTGCAGGTAGAGTGAGTGAGTTTAGTTTTAGGCCACTTTTGCAATATGAAAGCAATATCACGGCAGGGGGACATCAGAAATAGGCTTCATACAATGTACCCATGTGGGTAATTGAACCTGGGTCTTCAGCGTGACAAGTGAACGCTTTAACCACTAGGCTACCCCACCGTCCTTGCTGCAAGTGTAAATTATCAAGAAAGCTAAGTGCTAAGTGTTCACATTCTTCTTTCTTATATTTCATTTCTTAATACACTCACATGTATTAAAGAATTAAAAACTTTAAAAAGACAGAAGTGTCGAACTTGTGAAAGTAACATCTGATTTAAACCATTTTGACGTTCTCTGCTGCTTTACTTCGTCTTTCTCTACTGGTTTTACTTGTCAGTCTAGGATGAGGAGAACACATGTCAGTCTCGGCTGAGGAGAGCACATGTCAGTCTAGGCTGGGGAGCACATGTCAGTCTTGAGGAGAGCACATGTCAGTCTTGGCTGGGGAGAGGCTAGCATGGCTGGGCTGAACATCTGTCAGGCTAACATGGGAGGATATCTGTCAATCTAGACTGGGGGTGAATATCTGTCACTCTAGGATGAGGAAAATATCTCTCAGTCTAGGATGGGAAGCATATTTGTCAATCTAGACTGAGGGGAATACATGTCAATCTAGACTGAGGGGAATACATGTCAGTCTAGGATGGGGAGAATACATGTCAGTCTAGGATGGGGAGAATACATGTCAGTCTAGGATGGGGAGAATACATGTCAGTCTAGGATGGGGAGCTCAGGTCAGTGGGAGCTGACAGAACACATGTCAGTCTAGGCTGAGGAGAGCACATGTCAGTCTAGGCTGAGCTGGGCGTGAATATCTGTCAGGCTAGCATGGGGAGGATATCTGTCAATCTAGACTGGGGGTGAATATCTGTCACTCTAGGATGAGGAAAATATCTCTCAGTCTAGGATGGGAAGCATATTTGTCAATCTAGACTGAGGGGAATACATGTCAATCTAGACTGAGGGGAATACATGTCAGTCTAGGATGGGGAGAATACATGTCAGTCTAGGATGGGGAGAATACATGTCAGTCTAGGATGGGGAGAATACATGTCAGTCTAGGATGGGGAGAATACATGTCAGTCTAGGTTTAGGAGAATACATGTCAGTCTAGGTTTAGGAGAATACATGTCAGGCTAGGTTGGGGAGAATACATGTCAGTCTAGGATGGGGAGAATACATGTTAGTCTAGGATGGGGAGAATACATGTCAGTCTCGGCTGAGGGGAGCACATGTCAGTCTTGGCTGAGGAGAGCACATATCAGTCTAGGCTGAGCTGGGCGTGAATATCTGTCAGGCTAGCATGGGGAGGATATCTGTCAATCTAGACTGGGGGTGAATATCTGTCACTCTAGGATGAGGAGAATATCTCTCAGTCTAGGATGGGAAGCATATTTGTCAATCTAGACTGAGGGGAATACATGTCAATCTAGACTGAGGGGAATACATGTCAGTCTAGGATGGGGAGAATACATGTCAGTCTAGGATGGGGAGAATACATGTCAGTCTAGGATGGGGAGAATACATGTCAGTCTAGGATGGGGAGAATACATGTCAGTCTAGGTTGGGGAGAATACATGTCAGTCTAGGTTGGGGAGAATACATGTCAGTCTAGGTTAAGGAGAATACATGTCAGTCTAGGTTGGGGAGAATACATGTCAGTCTAGGTTGGGGAGAATACATGTCAGTCTAGGTTGGGGAGAATACATGTCAGTCTAGGCTGAGCAGAAACACATGTCAGTAGGTTTAGGAGGTCAGTCTAGGGAGAATACATGTCAGTCTAGGTTGGGAAGGAGAATACATGTCAGTCTAGGTTGGGGAGAATACATGTCAGTCTAGGTTGGGGAGAATACATGTCAGTCTAGGTTGGGGAGAATACATGTCAGTCTAGGTTAGGGGGAGAATACATGTCAGTCTAGGTTGGGGAGAATACATGTCAGTCTAGGATGGGGAGAATACATGTCAGTCTAGGTTGGGGAGAATACATGTCAGTCTAGGTTGGGGAGAATACATGTCAGTCTAGGTTGGGGAGAATACATGTCAGTCTAGGTTGGGGAGAATACATGTCAGTCTAGTTTGGGGAGAGAATACATGTCAGTCTAGGTTTAGGAGAATACATGTCAGTCTAGGTTGGGGAGAATACATGTCAGTCTAGGTTGGGGAGAATACATGTCAGTCTAGGTTTGGGAGAATACATGTCAGTCTAGGTTTGGGAGAATACATGTCAGTCTAGGTTGGGGAGAATACATGTCAGTCTAGGTTGGGGAGAATACATGTCAGTCTAGGTTGGGGAGAATACATGTCAGTCTAGGGTTGGGGAGAATACATGTCAGTCTAGGTTGAGGAGAAAACATGTCAGTCTAGGTGGGAGAGGAGAATACATGTCAGTCTAGGTTGTCAGGGAGAATAGAATACATGTCAGTCTAGGTTGGGGAGAATACATGTCAGTCTAGGTTGGGGAGAATACATGTCAGTCTAGGTTGGGGAGAATACATGTCAGTCTAGGTTGGGGAGAATACATGTCAGTCTAGGATGGGGAGAATACATGTCAGTCTAGGTTGGGGAGAATACATGTCAGTCTAGGTTGGGGAGAATACATGTCAGTCTAGGTTGGGGAGAATACATGTCAGTCTAGGTTTAGGAGAATACATGTCAGTCTAGGTTGGGGAGAATACATGTCAGTCTAGGTTGGGGAGAATACATGTCAGTCTAGGCTGGGGAGAATACATGTCAGTCTAGGTTGGGGAGAATACATGTCAGTCTAGGTTGGGGAGAATACATGTCAGTCTAGGTTGGGGAGAATACATGTCAGTCTAGGTTGAGGAGAATACATGTCAGTCTAGGTTGGGGAGAATACATGTCAGTCTAGGTTGGGGAGAATACATGTCAGTCTAGGTTGGGGAGAATACATGTCAGTCTAGGCTGGGGAGAATACATGTCAGTCTATGTACAGTCTAGGTTGGGGAGAATACATGTCAGTCTAGGTTGGGGAGAATACATGTCAGTCTAGGTTGGGGAGAATACATGTCAGTCTAGGTTGGGGAGAATCAGTCAGGTTGGGGAGAATACATGTCAGTCTAGGTTAGGATGGGGAGAATACATGTCAGTCTAGGTTGGGGAGAATACATGTCAGTCTACAGGTCTAGGTTGGGGAGAATACATGTCAGTCTAGGTTGGGGAGAATACATGTCAGTCTAGGTTGGGGAGAATACATGTCAGTCTAGGTTGGGGAGAATACATGTCAGTCTAGGTTGGGGAGAATACATGTCAGTCTAGGTTGGGGAGAATACATGTCAGTCTAGGTTGGGGAGAATACATGTCAGTCTAGGTTGGGGAGAATACATGTCAGTCTAGGTTGAGCAGAAAACATGTCAGTTTAGGTTTAGGAGAATACATGTCAGTCTAGGTTGGGTAGATCCTGTGACATCCAGTCTGTTTCAGGGAAGGTATAATGATAATCAAGTTTACTCATCTAAAAGACTAAAGATCAGTCCAGCCTTCACTCACTGTACTTCTTCCTGGTAGTGTCCCTGGTCTGTAGGATCTTGTCCAGCCTGGTGTAGGACATCCTGTCGGAGTCAGTGTCCCCCTCTGAAATCCTGGCCATGCTTGGCTTGTAACCCTCATTCACATCATCCTCGACTCCAACTGCAGTTGACACTGGAACAGTCAGTAACCACTGCTTATACAACACATCAGAATATTATAATCTGTATAACAGCTAGTGCTCCACAGTACAATAGTTAGTGTTGGGAATTGGTTAAAATCTCATAACTGAT